GTGACTATTTGAGTATTTCTTTTACAGTAGATTGATAGGGAATGAAACAATTAATGACTTGTGAACTTGAACTTGCTATTACATAGGTCGTGGGACATCCCCCCCAACTAAGTTGATTTTTTAATAGGGTTCATAATTTTCATAAAGTATTGTTGTCAAATACCATAGGAAAAAATTAACCAAACCTGAAGAGGTTTTCAATTCTTCGAAGAGAGTCGTCCTTGGGGTACATATTATGCATTTTCCAAGCTGAAAATGTCCTGTGACAGTTGTATCAATGTTTTTTGAATAAAAAGATTGTACAATAAATAAACTCTTTTATTTATTATACGGCCCCTACCTCACGGAGTTACCTCCCGTTGAGCATGCGCACCAACTGGGTAAGCTCCTAGACCCGTATCATCATTCCTTCTGCTGAATATATCAGTGAACAGAATTGCGGGGAGGCGGGAGGCCCTACCCCAAGGACGACTCTCTTCGAAGAATTGAAAACCTCTTCATGTTTGGTTAATTCTTCTTCATAGAGATCGTCCTTGGGGTACATATTATGCATAAACACAGACTCCCAAAGACCGGAGGCCAGGGAGGAGGGAATTCTGTCCAAGCACACACAAAATATAGCGATCGTATCATGGAAAAAAATTGAACAGACGCCATAACACTCACCTGTCACTTGACCCAGTTTATGGAGGCATTATGGGAGGGGAACTGACAGGGAGGATTTGTGCTCAAAGACGACCTCCATACGTTTAGCATAGGCAATCGCACATGTACGAATGTCAACAAAACCCCACCCACCTAGTGTCGATTAGTGAGCACCGTAGGGGGGAATGTCAATACCGCTCATAATCGACTAATTACTCCTGAGAGAATCGAAAGGGGGTAGTTTAACTCACAGTAGCAGACATGTCAATAATACACGATTATTGTACAGCAGCGTAAAAAAACAAACCAATAAACCAAGACTCACTCGGTCAGGGTGGCAGGACACTGTCCACTGGAGAGAACAGAACGGCCAAAGCTCGCACGATTACGGGAATGTGTATCGAGCTGGTAGTGCCGTATAAACGTGCTTGGCCGGCTCCAAATAGCGGCAGAGCAGATCTCTTCAATGGGGAGTGCCGATGCAAAAGCTTTTGACGCGGCTACTGCCCTGACCGAGTGAGCCTTCAACCCCTCAGGGGGAGGCTTGCCCTTAACCTGATAAGCGGTACAAATACACGAAACTAGCCAGCGAGACAAAGTCTGCTTGCTCGCTGGCAGACCAGCCTTCCCGCCACCGTAACAACAGAACAGCTGGGTACCCGTACGGATTCCCTGCGTTCGTTTGATATAAACTTTGAGCGTCTTACGGACATCCAACGGGTGAGTGCTCGTAGGAGTGGTCCCCGATGTGGAAGGCTGGGTAAGAGTGGGAAGTTCGATAGGAGCTGTCACATGGAAAGCGTGATCGACCTTCATGCGGTAAGTATCCGGGGAGGCGAATGCTGACACGATCAGTGTGAAACACAGTCAGCGCCGGGTTGGACGACATAGCATGTAAATCGCCGACCCTACATCCAGATGTTACCGCCACCAGAAACACAGCCTTCCAAGTTAACAACTGAATGGAAATAGCCGATAGGTGTGAGAAAGTTGGACCAGACAGCCAATCGAGCACGATTGACAAATCCCAAGGTGGACTGGTTCGCCTGAGAGCAGGTCGAATCCGTTCAGCGCCAGCAAGAAAGCCAGCACTGCGAGGGTGCTGCCCCAGAAGAGCACCATCGACAGGTGTGAAAAGTGGAAATAGCGGTGGAGTAGCCACGAATGGTCGAAGCCGCCAGGCCTTCTTCCAAACGAGCTTGCAAAAACTCCAATACTCGGACTAAATCCGCAGAAAAGGGATCTGCAATCCCCCTATCTGAACACCAGCGCATAGCGGGACCACCTATCCTCATACTGAAGCGTTTGTCGAATCCGCCTGAAGCCAGAATTGTGTCTGCAACTGCTGCAGGAATTCCGGCGTGCCTCGAGGCTAGACCTGACAGAGGCCAAGCCACCCACCGAATCCGTGGATTTGGGTGGGGCGCTCCGTTCTGAGTGAGAATGTCCGGTCGTAAAGGTAATAGAACAGGAGGCTGAGCCAGAAACCTGAGAATTACCAGAAACCAGCTCTGTGACGGCCAAAGCGGTGCCAGTAGCACAAGCAGCCGAGCTGGCTGGGTGGACAGCTGTGAAAGGACACGGGGAATGAGTGGTAACGGCGGGAACGCCCAGAGCACTTTGCCCGTCCAATCCAGCAGGAAGGCGTCGGCAGCCAACGCCCCTGGGTCCGGTATTCGAGAGCAGAACACGGGTGTCTGATGTGTCCCGCCGGACGCAAACAGATCCACTGAAGACGGACTACCTGGCCACGGACATGCTCTCTGAAGCGCTCGAAAACCAACCGCACACAGCTCTCAGTTCCAACACGTTGATGTGAAGGTGGGCTTCGGCTTCGGACCTGAGTCCGGACGCCGACAGACTGCCCAGAACACCCCCCCAGCCCGTGAGGGACGCATCGGTCTGAACTGTGAGAGCTGGCGTCGGGATTTCCAAGGGGAACCCCCTTGTGAGATTTCCGACATTTGTCCACCACTGAAGGTGAGGTGTCAACCACTCGGGGACTGTGAGACTGCGCTCCAGATCCTCCGTGTGAGCCCACAGCCGAGCCAAAGCTTGCTGTATAGGGCGCATCCTCAACCGCGCCCGCCACACGACAGAGATCGTCGCCGCCATATGGCCCAGTAGACGGAGCCAAGTCAGTGCTGGTGCCTGGGGCTGGGAGAGGAACGAAGATACCATCTCCCGAACTCTGGTGATCCGGTCGGGCGACAAGGAAACGAGATCCTTGTTTGTTTGGAATCGCGCTCCAAGAAAAAACAAGTCCTGGGTGGGTACCAGGTCGGATTTCTTGAGGTTGATTATCCACCCCAGTCGAGTTAGAATGTCTATCACTGTGTGAGTAGCATCTAGACTCGCTGGCTGTGTTAGTGCTCCGAGCAACCAGTCGTCGAGGTAAGGGTAACAACGCCTTCCTTGCGAACGAGCGAGGGTAGCTGGGACTAACATGAGCTTGGTGAACACCCTTGGGGCAGTCGATATGCCGAAGGGGAGCACCCTGAATTGGTAACACATCCCATCGTAAGAGAACCGAAGGTACTGCTTGAACGATGGATGTATGGGCACATGCAGATACGCATCCTTTAGGTCGATTGACGTGAGCCAATCGCCGGGCTGAACATATGAGATCACCGAGCGCAGGGTCTCCATCTTGAAGGATGGTACTTCTAGCATGCGGTTCAACCCCTCTCTCATGGGGCGGGAGGGCGCAGGGATCGGAATCCCAGGAATACTCAACGGTCCCTGCGCCAACTCCAAGAGGGGGACTCGGAGCACCTCCCCCTCCGGGGCAGCCGAGGCGTCCGGACCCGAAGCTAGAGGCAACGGGTCTACAGATGCCTCAAGGCTGAGGGATCGAGCCGAGCCCGGCGATCCCACCACCTGAGTCTCCGCCCCCCGTCCGGAGTGAGCGAGGAACTCCTGCCGGAGCCCTCCAACAGACTCACGGATGAGGGACTTCACGGAGTCCATATGTTGCTGAAACAATTTATCCATTAAAGACATGTCAAACCCACCAGTAGAAGCAGGAGAGGAGGCTTGGCTTTGGGATTTTTTTTCCCTTACGAGACCGCTTTTGGGCCTTAGACGGGGGGACCTGGGTCAGTTCCCCACCCGCCTCTCGCATCTCTTTGTAAAAGAGAGTGTCAGCCGCCCTCCTCTTTTGGGCACGGCGGGAAAACCCAAGACATATTGGACACACTTCGGCGTCATGGCCGGTCTTTTCCAGACAGGCTACACATTGGTCATGCCTGTCGGCAGACCGAACAGGACAAAAAGGCCTGAAAGCAAACACGCAAGCATGTAGCTAACGGCGGACCAGCAACATATATACACGTAGAAAACATTGAAAAATACGTGAAGGCTACCACGGGAAGTAAGAGTTGGTTCAATACGCAATATTACGACCACATGGCACGCTAAACTTCCCGCCATGGCAGAGCAACATGTGCGTAAACCACGGGAAAGTGAGCGTATTAGAATTAATACAAAGTCACAATTATGAAACAACCAACTGTAAAGCTTTACTGTTCCTTTCATAGGCAAATAAAGACCATACATACAGGTAGTGTAGTATAAGACATAGTTTTCTTATTCAGAAAGTTCAGCGCTGTACGGCTCATGGACGTCTGTTCACGGCAGTGACAGCAGAAGGAATGATGATACGGGTCTAGGAGCTTACCCAGTTGGTGCGCATGCGCAACGGGAGGTAACTCCGTGAGGTAGGGGCCGTATAATAAATAAAAGAGTTTATTTATTGTACAATCTTTTTATTCAAAAAAACATTGATACAACTGTCACAGGACATTTTCAGCTTGGAAAATGCATAATATGTACCCCAAGGACGATCTCTATGAAGAAGAATACCGGAATTGTAACTGACCGGAATTGCACACATGTGATACTGATGTATTGGCAATAACTGGTCGCTAGCCAGTAGAGTGTTTTGTGTGGCGTTGTGATGATTATTTGATATTGTGATGATATTCTGATGACAATTTGATTGGTTGGTTTGTTGTTTGCAATGATGCAGCTATATTGCGGTGGTCAATAAATGATCAAGTCTGGACAAACCAGTGATCAACATCATGAGCATCGACCTACGCAATTGGGATATGATGACATGTGTCAACCAAGTCAGCGAGCCTAACCACCCGATCCTGTTAGTCGCCTCTTACGATTATCATGGGTTGCTGACAATGTGATGACATTGTGACGAGACATGGTGGTATTATGATGATATCTTGATATTACTCATGACACTCTGATGGTCCTATTTTGATTGTGTCACAACATTCCTATGGTATTCTCATTGACATTCTGATAACACTTTGCAATATTCCACCATGACAACCCACCTTAGACAGATGGTAGGTGGTGATGTAGTGTTGGGGCAAGTCTTGCTGGTAGGCATTCTCAGCTAGTGGCAAGATCTTGGAGCATCGGCTGCAGAAGACAAAACAACATTGGATCTGTCTGTCAGAGTAAGCATTTGCTTTTTGTAGAAACTGCCTTAGGATACCTTTCATGTGAATACACTAGTATTTCGTAATAATCATATAATTAATAGATCCTACCCTCTGACACTTTCAAGCACCTGCTTCCTCTGAAGCTTGTTACTGGAAATCATTAACACAGCCTCCCTGCTGGTGCGAGACTACTAAATTGTGCTGACAATAAGTGAAGATAAAATGAAGGTTGTCCGCAAGGTAGAACTGAGAGTTTTGTTCTGAACCAGTTCTCAATTTTGCTAAATTGATTGTGTGAGCATGGTTTCACGCCACATTTAGCAATATTCCAGCAAATATCACGGCAGTGGAAACCTGAAAAGGGCTTCTTCACAGGTACAGGAACCTGGGTCTTCGGCATGACAAGCCAACACTTGTCGGCTACCCCATCGTCCCCAATTTTGCTATAAACTGGTGTGTAATTATACACTGAGTGAAAATGCACACTTATTAAATGTGTTTATTGTTTAATTACACCTGCTACAGATGTAAAATGTGTTAACCAGCACTCTGGACTAATCTTTTAAAAAAAAAAAAAATACACACCAAAGACTGAAAACTGACAGATGGAGTAAATGCAGCTGGCAGGCGCGTAGCAAGCCAATTTTTTCGTGTAAGCCCGATAGGTTGCACAGCTTTATATTAAGAGAGTATTGAGTGCTTATCCAACCTTTTCAGCAACAATCATGTGTAAGCCCGGGCTTTTTTTGTATAATGGTAGCTACGCCCCTGGCTGGGGAACTCGACTCATGCTGACTGACTTCAAGTCTTGTTTGTCTCTGAACATAAATATTCGAAATTTTAACTATAAATTGTATATTTATATACTTATCCTATCTCACGACTTGCACCTCTCTCTCTCTTCATTCGACCATGAATTAAACGAATTAAACTTTGCTCCAGGCCTTCCTTGTCCCTGTCCCCGTGCTGTGCATGCCTTCCTGCCTTAGCCATGCTCACTAGGCCGTGACAGCACGTGGCATGCGCAGTCCTCACCCACGTGATCACCTTCCATACTCATTCTCGATCTTGGAACCATAAAAGGACAAAACCGGAACGGTGGTAATCTAAGTAGTGGGGAGGTAGGGTGGGACTTTATCGCGTGAGATAGGATAAGTATATAAATATACAATTTATAGTTAAAATTTCCAAATTTTTAAACTTATCCTATCTCACGACTTGCACTTATCCCACGGTAGGAAGGTGGGTCATAGATTACCCGAAGTTCAAGCGATAACAGCTAAGCGTTATGCCAAAACAACCGTAGGAAACAAAACAATCGATACCATTGACTTACTAAGCACAAGTGCTCCCAGGGACCGGGAATCCCGAGCAATGTGGTGTTCAGTCACTACCTTCACAAAGTGAAAGGACGCAGTTTAGTGAGTGTAATCAGTCGCATCGCCACAATTTCCAAGGTACCCCCGTAATAAAAGTCTAACGACTAGTATCGGGCCAGCCCCTGCTTCGAAACAACCCCCAAAGACACCGTCCCCAGGACGGTGAAAGGGTAATTGAATCGGAAAAACTCACAATTTTAACGTTCAGTACCATAACATCATCTTATGACTTCCACTACTTACCACAGTAAGATCACATAAATGTGTATACCGTATATGACCGTCTATAAGCCGATCCCATGGATAAGCCGACCCCCAAACTTGACCCTCAAAATCAGTGTCAAAATCATATCTCTCATGGATAGGCCGACCCCCCGCGATGGGTCGAGGCCAACAGAGACCAGAGTACCCGGTAAGTATGTTCCATCAACGACGAGACACCATTACGAGAATATTACATAATAAAGATTACCGGTGTTTGTTTACCTTTTTTTAACGATCACTGCTTGCATCAACAACGAGACGCCATTTGGAAAGTGGATATACAGCGTAAGTGTTGGTGAGAATATTACATAATAAAGATTACCGGTGTATTGTGGCAACATGTGTTTGTGTTCCTTTTTATATCCCGACGATCACTGCTTGCATCAACAACGAGACGCCATTTTGTGAAATCGGTGAGTATGGAGAGAAAAAGTACCATCGGTAAATAAAAACTGAAGTCAACTTTTGTTTCAAAATATATTATTTAAGTGTCCATATTTCATCTATATATATATGACAATAAGAAAAATAGTCCACTAACAATAAACACTGACATTTCTGCAAGAGAGTTCTGAGATTTTCACAAGTCATCGGCCGTAAACCCATCAAATTCCGTGTCACTGTCAAAGAATTCACTGTCATATATATTGTGTCTACTCACGGATCGAAACGAAGTGTAGTTGACAGAAAATGCATAATATATTTTGCTTCTCTAAATATCATATTTATTGTAGCAACAAACTGGCTTGCTTATTTTACCCCATTCGACAATCACAAACTGATTACCGCCTCGTTCCATGTCACGTGCTTACCACGTTCATGATGGTCCGTATAACCTTAGTGTTGATTATATATTTTTTACATAAAAACTATTACACAATGCTAGGATATATTTCTTTGGGTTAAATAATAGTATTCAATCAATAGAATTCATCCCGTTATATTATTGTGCATGTTTGAACTTGTTCGCGGGGAAACGTGTGCACAGCTGATTGCTATTTCGGCTTTGTGTATGCGAGACAAATACGCGCGGTAATCTTAATTAATTTATAGAGCAAAACTGTAACTAAAATTACACAATGCTAGGATATATTTCTTTGGGTTAAATAGCGGTATTCTGTATTATATTTTACTGATGACTGCGTCAGAATTCGTCCCGTTATATTATTGTGCATGTTTGAACTTGTTCGCCGGGAAACGTGTGCACAGCTGATTGCTATTTCCGGCTTTGTGTACGAGACAAATACGCACGGTAATCTTAATCCCTGCAAATAAAACAATGCCCAGCAAAAACAACTTATAACTTAAATGGTCATTAATCTTGTCTAGTGATGTTTAATTGCAAATTTGACGTCTCTACTGACAAAGTCGTCTTCTGTTGTTTGTTCAAGCGAAGTGATACGATGTTGTTTTTTTTTTACCCCTGGAAAAAAGTTTGACGAAAGTTTAACTCATGGATAAGACGACCCCCTTCTACAGACGGCTTTTTTTGGTCCTCAAAATTCGGCTTATAGACGGTCATATACGGTAGGTACTTAGGAGCATGAACGCTACAAAGTGTGACACTTCGGGAATGACTCACTTCACTGACGTAATTACTCCGTGGAGCAGAGGACAGTAAGTGAGGTGGCGACCCTCCAGTATCTCAAAAGCGAGACATGCGATGGTTAGTTCGAACCCGTTGACTTACTAAGCACAAGTGTTCCAGGGACCGGGATTCCCGAGCAATGTGGTGTTCAGTCACTACCTTCACGAAAGTGAAAGGACACAGCTTAGCGAGTGTAATCAGTCGCATTACCACGATTTCCAAGGTCTGACGACCAGTATCGGGCCAGCCCCTGCTTCGAAACAAGCCCCACAGACACCATCCCATGGAGGGTGAAAGGGTAGTTGAATCGGGAAATCTCACAAGTCCCAGAAGAATCGAAGACACAAATCAGAAATAAAATTCAGAATTTTATTCAGATTGTACACAAAGCAGAAACGATCGCAACTGGTGAAACATCTGACTAGGGCGAAGCTGCAGCTGGCCCCTGTAAGTCAGCGCTTGTGCCGACGTCAACCACCCTAGTAACTTCTGCCACTGGCAAAAAGTTGTGGGTTGGACCAGCACTAGTGGTGCGTTGCACTGAATCTTGTCCCACCTCTCCTGGGGCACAAACATCATGACCTGTCGTGTTGAATATTGTCCCAATAAAAAGAAATCATCGGGTCGGTGTTACCTCTGATTTCTCCGAATTTAGCAGCCATCCTAATTGCGTGAGCAACTTGATGATGAACTGCCTGTGGACAGGAAGGACGACTGGATCCTGCTGGGCTTGAACAGTCGTCGATATAGTTCTCAAATGTCACGCCTCGACAATGCAGGTAGCTTGTTATCGGATTGGGTATCTGAGTAAAAAGCCACGGGGCCGCACATATGCCCATACAGAAGGACCCTCCATTGGTATCAATGACGCCCCTTGAAAGTAAATCGAAGATACTTCCGATAGTCTGGATGTATCCGGATATGAAGGTAGGTGTCTCACAGGTCGAGGGACTGACTGACTGACTGACTGACTGAGTTTAGTTTTACGCCGTTTTTAGCAATAATCCAGCAACATCACGGCGGGGGACACCAGAAATGGGCTCAACACATTGTGCCCATGTGGGGAATCGAACTCGGGTCTTCGGCGTGAAGAGCCAAGGCTTTAACCACTAGGCTACCCCACGGCCCTCGCAGGTCGAGGGAAATGAGAGGTCTAACCACTCATGCCTCTGACGAAAAGATATCTCCTGATATAAGAACGTTCAATAAGCCGAGCAACTACGTCAGTTCTGGCGGAGTGATCAATGCAGTATGTTCGGTGCATGGAGATTGTCAGTCAATCTATAGGAACGTTCACATTGTAAACGAATTGAAGAAATTTGTACGATCGGTGACCCCAGGAACGTTTCGGTTGCCCGAACAAAATGATGGTCGCCAGGTGGAGTGATAAAGGTAGATCTAGTAGATCGCTGTCTGGTGACAGTCCTTGCATAACTGCAGTGACCTCTGAACTCAGTGCTTGAGCTAGTCAAACCGTTCACGGGTGTTTCTGTCTGTCACCCTCGATAAGCAGTCTCTCTCGATTGGCTGTCTTAATATTATGGCGAACTGAGTCGATGTCGTAATCCTGGAATCCACATACGCCATGGCGAAACGGTTCGGTCTGGTGAATCCATTCGGTATGGCGAACCAATTCGGTGTGGTGAATCGGATCCGCGATTTGACGATGTAGATCGGCTGTGTGAACACAGAGCGGTTTGATGAGGCGGAACGACGAGAAGACATCTGATGATGCGCCAATAAAATTATCACCGTCCGACATGGGAATCTCCGGACAACGAGCAGTTAATACCGGTGGTTAAAAGCGGGGGTTGGTCGGGTGATCAACTGTTGAAGTGTAACAAGCTCTGTCTGCCAGCCAACGGGAGCAAGCATGTCTATATGCTCTAAAAACGTCCTTGATAAGGGAGCACATTCCTGACGTTTGCTCCAGGAACACAGGTCAATACAACCCACACATGACGAGGTTCCGAGGAAGTAAATATTGTTACAGTGTGCGCAAAATTACGCTACTCAGGGTCAACAGCAAGAAGCATGGTGTCTAAACCCGGCGCTGGAGAGGGATCAAGCGCAGGATTCCAAGACTCGGCAATAACCTATGACCGAGGCAAAGTAGAAGTGGCATGGCGTGAAGGTGAACGCCGATCCACTGAACCATAACGCAGCCTAGCAGGTGATACCATCCTCACAGAACGATGTTAATCAGTGGAACTATCACGTAAAAGTGCTGACCGCAAGTGCTCACTAGCTCTAGACTGACAAGACAGGATATCCTGATTCACCTGAGGTGAATGAGACCGACTACAAGAATCACCCTGACGAAACACCCCGTACGGCTAGGTGAACCGGATCGAAATGGCGAACCACTTCGACTAGGTGAGACTGAACAACTACGTGAATCAAACCGCTGTGGTGAATTGATTCGACTATGAGATGGTGAGTCGAACTGAAACCTATGTTGAGGTGAACTGAGTCGGGAATGTGAACCGGTTCGTCCTGGTGAATCCATTCGAGTTCGACCCTTGGCAATGACACGGATAGGTGAATGGTTCCATTCTAGTGAACCAACACTGGCATTAGACCCAATTCTGATTGGTGAAATGAATCGAGGTGGTGAATCGGTTCGGACTGGTACATTGGAAGGACGACGAGAGCTCGAGCGTGAACGAGATCTAGAACGACACTTCCCAGCAGTAGAAGAACGAATTCGAACCTCCGAACCAGATGGTGACTCAACTCGTGTGGGTTAATTGTTTTGGTGGGATGAAACCGTATGAAGAGGAGAACGGTTATGTTCCAACCACGCCGATCCACGCTTCGATGATGAATGCTTGGATTTAGAAGTTTTCGAGGACTTTGAACTGTCCGAAGAAACGGATCTATGAGATGAAGTAGATCGCAGGTCTTGTGTAGAGGAAATATCAGTCATTACCATCCTTGCATGCTTGAGCTTGAGCTAGGTGAGGAAAGCGTCCCAAAAGCCTTTTAACATTCTCAGACAAATAGGAATCAGACGAAGCATCCATAAAATCTTCGTTAGGAGAGACGGGAGATTTAGAACGGCGAGCAGGTAGCATGGGGCGATGTAAACATTGTTTTTAGCGGGGAGATGGACCAGATCCTGCATAAGCATTCCTGGCCCTATCTGCCAAATGTTTGTAAGCTTTAAAATCCTCATTAGACAGTCCTGAACATTTAGGACAACGTTTGTCCCAATCACAACAACCCACATAATCAACACACGATGTGTGTGGGTCCCAAGCTGAAAAAACTTTATTACGCTGAGCGCAAAACTTCGTTTCTGGCCTGAACAGGCTTAACCATGTTGAGCAATTATCAGACGAAAACAATTCACGTCCACTCTGTCGAGCGACAATAAAGAGAATGAGTATGGAAGGTGATCGTGGGTGAGGACTGCGCATGCCACGTGCTGTCACGGCCTAGTGAGCATGGCTAAGGCAGGAAGGCATGCACAGCACGGGGACAGGGACAAGGAAGGCCTGGAGCAAAGTTTAATTCGTTTCCACTCATGGTCGAATGAAGAGAGAGAGGTGCAAGTCGTGAGATAGGATAAGTTTAATAATTTAACATGTTTGGGCAGAGAATTTTGAAGCTATTCACGGCAAGATGTTAAATGATTACATCCCTAGTGCTCTGTACTAAAGGATAAGTTATAACACAAACACTGGTCAGCAATGATTCAGTAAACTGTCATCTATCCCCAAAGTCACCTCATCACTGGTATGTTTCTTCGGATGAGCTAATGATATTGTACTGGTGACTGATTTCGTGTTTAAAATTTATGGAAGATATCTTACTTTTCTGAGAACCTGACATCCGTCTCCAGCAGGGACCTGAGTGTGGGGTGGGTAGCAACTTTTCCTTCAGGTGAGTCAGAGAAGAAAAACTTGTACAGCCGAATAGCCACGGCAAACCACGTCTCACTGCTGGCCATCTGCATGTAAAAAACACAATGAACATCATCTCTTGTCTTACCTTTCAGACAGCAATATTACATCTGTACATATTGATAGTTTAGTCTGTGGCCAGCAACATGATGCACAATGATATAAGGCTACACTTTGTAACCAAGAAGCACTCATTTTAGTTGGTGATTACAAGTGTTTGTTCTGGTGTTCCATCCTACCCCCAAAAACACCATGTGTGAAAAGCATTGGACACTAGGGATCTATTCTACCCCAGGAACACCATGTGTGACAAGCACTGGACACTAGGGACCTATTCTACCCCAGAAACACCATGTGTGACAACCATTGGACACTAGGGATGTATTCTACCCCAGAATCACCATGTGTGACAAGCACTGGACACTAGGGACATATTCTACCCCAGAAACATCATGTGTGATATAAGCAGTGGACACTAGGGGCCTATTCTACCCCAAAAACACCATGTGTGACAAGCATTGGAAACTAGGGAGCTATTCTACCCCAAAAACAAGATGTGTGACAAGCACTGGACACTAGGGGCCTATTCTACCCTAGAATCACCAGGTGTGATAAGCACTGGACACTAGGGGCCTATTCTACCCTAGAATCACCACGTGTGATAAGCATAAGACATTGGGGACTATTCTACCCTGGGGTCTATTCTACCCCTAGAATCACCATGTGTGACAAGCACTGAACACAAAGGACCTATTCCTCCAAAAACATTCTACTGGGGGCCTATTCCCCAAAACATCATGTGTGATAAGCACTGGACACAAGGTACCCCCAAAACACCATTGACAAGCACTGAACACAAGGGACCTACCCACTCCAAAAACATCATGTGTGATAAGCATTGGACACTGGGGGCCTATTCTACTCCAAAAACATCATGTGTGAGCTAAGCAGTGGACACTAGGGGCCTATTCTACCCCCAAAACACCATGTGTGACAAGCATTGGAAACTAGGGACCTATTCTACCCCAAAAACAAGATGTGTGACAAGCACTGGACACTAGGGGCCTATTCTACCCTAGAATCACCAGGTGTGATAAGCACTGGACACTAGGGGCCTATTCTACCCTAGAATCACCATGTGTGATAAGCATTGGACACTTGGGGTCTATTCTACCCTAGAATCACCATGTGTGACAAGCACTGAACACAAAGGGCCTATTCTACCCCAAAAACACCATGTGTGACAAGCACTGAACACAAGGGACCTATTCTACTCCAAAAAACATCATGTGTGATAAGCATTGGACACTGGGGGCCTATTCTACTCCAAAAACATCATGTGTGATAAGCACTGGACACTAGGGGCCTATTCTACCAAAAAAACATCATGTGTGGTAAGCACCGGACACAAGGTACCCATTCTACTCCAAAAAAATAATTTGTGATAAGCACTGGACACTAGGGGCCTATTCTACCCCAAAAACACCATGTGTGACAAACACTAATCACTAGGGGCCTATTCTACCCCAAAAACACAATGTGTGACAAACACTGGACACTAGGGGTCTATTCTACCCTAGAATCACCATGTGTGACAAGCACTGAACACAAAGGGCCTATTCTACCCCAAAAACATCATGTGTGATAAGCACTGGACACAAGGTACCCATTCTACTCCAAAAATATAATGTGTGATAAGCAACAACATCATGTGTGATACTAAAAAGCACTGGATAACACTAGGGGCCTATTCTACCCAAAAACATCATGTGTGACAAGCACTGGACACTAGGGGCCTATTCTACCCAAAAAACATCATGTGTGACAAGCACTGGACACTAGGGGCCTATTCTACTCCAAAAACATCATGTGTGATAAGCACTGGACACTAGGGGCCTATTCTACCCAAAAAACATCATGTGTGACAAGCACTGAACACAAGGGACCTATTCTACTCCAGAATCACCATGTGTGACAAGCACTGGACACTAGGGGACCTATTCTACCCCAGAATCACCATGTGTGACAAGCATTAGGGGACACTACCCCAGAATCACCATGTGTGACAAGCATTGGACACTAGCGTGGGTACAAAAAGGACACATTCAATTACCTCAAACACTGCAGGGACTGGGTTTCTACCGACATTATCATCAAAGCCCTTGGTGAAAGCCTGGTCAATGTGCTGCCACAGGAACTCCTTGAAGCTGTTCTCAGGGCGACTAAACATTGTCACTGACGTTCTCTGAGTATCCCCTGATGCCTGGTTTGAGCGCCGATTGGTCGCGTAGCTCCGACTGCGTGGGGATTCTGTGACACAAAGCAGGTTTGTCCTCATAGTAATACATATAACAAGGCTGGCTTTATATATATCAAACATGCACTAAGCCAACCTATGCAACATAATAATTATGTTTATATGTACGAAAGGCATGTAAAAGCCACTCCAATTTTAAGCAGCCCTTACTTGTCTAAAACATGAATTCTTTTGAAATATGTAATTTTTTAAAGAAAATTGATATTTTACACTTATCCTGACTCATGATCTTTTGCTTATCTCCCTTTCCCTTTCGAATGGTAGTGGAACACTTGAATCCCTTGAAGTTCCTGAAGCGGACGTATAAATACACTCACCCACAAGTTACCCCCCTTTGCCCTTTCCCGCGCAAACCAGTCAGGTGACCTTCCTTACTTGTCACTTTCTCCTGCTTTTCTGCCCATGCACTTGGATCTGCTGTGAAATCTCAAGTGTCTTCAATGGGGAGGTTGGAAGGGCTTCTCGTCATGAGTCAGGATAAGTATAAAAATATCAATTTTACTTTAAAAATTACATATTTTTCCTTATCCTGACTCATGATCTTTTGCTTATAGAATCCGACAGATTGGTGGTGGGTCAAGCCACTGGATTCAACAGCTGTCCTTAGATACGTCCTGTATCCCCCCCATGGGAACTGTGAAACGGAATTTCCGTGATCCTATTCTTCCAATTTCCGTTACTCGGGGGGGGGGGACCACTTTCTTGTCTTACTTCAATCTCAGACAAGTTGAATCATGTTGATTCATGTGGCTATAGATAAACTAGTATCTTCCTATTACTAGATATCTTATAACAACCCATAGATTTTACCCGTACAGGATCTTTAATCACTCATGCTAGCCTGTCCTAGACTGTGAGCATGGACTTTCAAACTAATACTTTTCCTTAGTAAAAGTTATCAACAAGTCAACGTGATAAAGGGTGAGATTTTCCAACTCAGCGCCTTTGATGAACCTTTGTGGCTACAGATAAACTAGTATCTTCTTATTACTAGATATCTCATAACAACCCATAGATTATGATAAGATCTTTATCATAAAAGAGTTGCGACCCCTTCACGTACAGGTAAGATCTTTACCCGTACAGGATCTTTAATCACTCATGCTAGCCTGTCCTAGACTGTGCGCATGGACTTTCAAACTAATACTTTTCCTTAGTAAAAGTTATCAATAAGTCAACGTGATAAAGGGTGAGATTTTCCAACTCAGCGCCTTTGATGAACCTTTGTGGCTACAGATAAACTAGTATCTTCTTATTACTAGATATCTCATAACAACCCATAGATTATGATAAGATCTTTATCATAAAAGAGTTGCGACCCCTTCACGTACAGGTAAGATCTTTACCCGTACAGGATCTTTAATCACTCATGCTAGCCTGTCCTAGACTGTGCGCATGGACTTTCAAACTAATACTTTTCCTTAGTAAAAGTTATCAACAAGTCAACGTGATAAAGGGTGAGATTTTCCAACTCAGTGCCTTTGAGGAACCGTTAGTTGCTGTGCTACAACGAAAGGCCCAAATTGGTGAATGCCTGAGACGTCTTCAGTGGCTATGTCTTCGAGGTAGTGGTTGGCAAACACTGTGTCCAACTTCCAAAAGCTGCCCTCCATAATTGTTGGTACAGAGCAATTTCCGTGCAGAGTCAGTGTTGACGCCAGTGCTCTGACTTCGTGTGGGTTGGAAGCTCTAGGAGGTTCTAGTCCTGCTGCTTTATAGACTCTCAATATAACGGCTCTCATCCAGAACGATATGAACAGGCGCTTGAATTATTGTCTCCTCGTCTCAGTCTTTTGAAGATATATCTTCAGGGCTCTGACTGGACACAAGGATAAGTCCTCTATATCCTGTGGACCGAGGATTGTAGACAGCGCTAGTATGTGGAACTGTCTATCTGGTTGACCAGGTAGCTGGTTCTTGGCAATAAAATCCCATCTAATTCCTAGATGAACTGCATTATGTTGCCCTCTGTCAAATCTGGTTCGACCAAAGTCCAGCGCATGTATCTCCGATATTCGAGCTGCCGTGGCTAACGCAAGCAGGAACAGCGTCTTCCTCCAGCTTAAAAGATCTCAGCAGAGCAAGTAATTCTGGTACTTCCGTCAACTTGATGCCTGTTTTCATGCTAATTACTGTACTGATAGCAGCGAGGTATGTAGATAATGTCGAACTCTTCAGATGTCTGGTCTGTCTAAGATGACACAGATATTCCGCCACTTGAGGATGAGTGGCTATCATCGCTGTGAAGCCTTTCCGCCTTGCATAAGTCTCAAACTTCAGCCATTTGTCGTCATATAGGTTACGAGTCGATCTGCGAAACGCTAGCGTTACTGCTTTGGCTGCCCTGGCGGAGTATCCTCTTTTCTTCAAGCATGTTTCGATACGGTCCACACGTGTAACTGGAACACTGTCGGGTTTCAGTTGACTTGCTTGGTGTAGGATGTATTAGTAGGTTCGGCTTGTAGCGTCTGAGTCTGTTTGATCTTGTACAGTACTTTTGGCAGTAGTATCGGGGGTTGAAAAGCGTAGCCGTTTAATCCTTCCAACGACATGCTCAGTGCATCTATTGCCCAGGCTTGAGGATCTGGAACTGGTGAGACAAACGTCTGTAGTTGTTTGTTGAACCTCGTGGCAAACAGGTCTATGCAAGGGGATCCTATCTCCCTTATGTTCCGAAACGCTTCTGGATGGAGCATCCATTCCCTAGGTGTCGGTTGTAGTGGTCTTGAAAGAGCGTCTGCCAGTACGTTGTTGGCTCTGGGTATATGACACGCCTTTATCCAGATGTTTGCTTCCTGTGTGATCTGGAACAACTGGAATGTGAGCTGCAATAGGCTTGGAGACCTTGTGGATCCTTGCCGGTTTATGGAGAACGCCACTGTGGAGTTGTCTGTGTGGATCATCAGCATTTTGTTGTTCAGCAAGCTCGACCATAGTTGTAAGGCATTGATCACTGCTTTCATCTCTAGCAGATTGATGTGAAGCTGATGTTGCGTTTTGGACCACTTTCCCGACGCCACATGATCGTTGAGATGCGCACCCCATCCTTGCATCGAGGCGTCTGTGTAGAGATGTGTGTCGAAGGCCGGCTCTTGTAAATAGGTTTCTTCGCAAACGTTCGACCTGTGTGTCCACCACAGTAGATACCTCTTGAGGTTTCCCGGCAGCAAGATAAGGTCGAGGCTGTCTAAATGTATTATCAGGAACCGTTGCAGCGGTGTTAGTTGTAACCTTCCTGTGCGAGTCAAGTCCTGTGCTGAGTTTAGTAGACCGAGTAGACATTGCCATGTTCGTAGTGTTAATGGAGAGATGACTGCTTGTTGAATCATGGCTTGTATCTTGACCCAATGATCTTCTGGGACCACAATATGATTCTGTGCTGTGATAATTCTTATTCCCAGCAATTGAAGATCTTGTTTGATTCTAACTCCAATTTACATCAGGTTCACTTGCCATCCTAGTTGCGTGAGCAACTTAATTGTGAAGTTCAGCTGCTGTCTGAGTTGATTGGCACTTTGAAGAACCTGTATGCCGTCATCCAGATAACCGGCACTGCGTAGACCTCGATGTAGCAGATAGGCTTGGTTATTCGTATGAATAATCATAGAGCCGACGATATTCCAAACGATAGGACGTTTAAAACTCAACAAAAGATCTACATTACGATTAAATTATGACACAAATACAAATAATTTTGTACAAAATATTTACATAGAATACAAAGTAGTTAAAGCCAAATCCATACAAAGCATAATTTTGAAGAATAGGATCTAAATAAAAAGGATATAATGCCATATACGGGACTCCAATGCTCGCCCAACCATCCGCTTGGGCGAATAGGGAGAGAGTGACAAGTAAGGCTGGTCACATGACTGTTTACGAGGGAAAAGGGAGGTAACTCGTGGGTGAGTGTATTTTTACGTCCGCTTCAAGGGATTCAAGTGTTCCACTACCATTCGTAAGGGAAAGGGAGATAAGCAAAAGATCATGAGTCAGGATAAGAAAAAATATAAATATAGCCAACCACATAGGGGTTTTCAGTTCGGTGAAGAGAGTCTTCCTTGGGGTACATATATGCATTTTCTGCTGCTGAAGATGTCAGGAGACAGTTGTAACAACGTCTTGTACAAATAAATAACTCAATTTTTTATCTGTTATACTGCCCCCAATCATGGGAGATTACCTTCCCTACTGTGCATCTTTACCTGAATCTTTGGCAACAGCAGAGTTGATGCGGAGATTCTGCAGGAATACTGTGATGGGATCGGTGGCTTCATTCGGTCGGCTGTTCACATACACAAACTCCTGGTTGGCAGGCACAGCGAACAGCGAGTTGTTGCTGCACAGACAATACAACAGCGATATCATGTATTGCCATAAATAATGTTATTGTGTACACCAGACAGCATAGACAGATATAGAACAGTAAAGATAGTACAGACATATTTAGCACCAGCAGACTTGGCATTGACAGACCTGGCGGAGCCCTGGCACCCATAGATATGACATTGGCACGCTTGTCACTAGTTCACATGGTAACAACAGACATGGCACCAGACAGAATGAAAGAGCACAAGGAATAATGGGTGATTTCACCAACATGAGCATGTCAATAACAAATCCAAAGATTGATCAATGAGTGGGATTTGAAAGTGAAAAACTATTTAGAGACCAAAGTCTTCCAAAATATAAAAAACAGTCCGTGGTAGAGACAGAGCAAAGTTACACCAAACTTGGATATACAGCTCTTAATTCTTAGGACTGCACAAACCACTATCCAAACTAAAAGCCTTTCAAATATGAAGATATTCCTTTGAATGTACCTGATATTTGTGATTATTCTTGACTTTCTCAGAATTCTGTAAATCTGGTCTTCAATATTGTGCACAAGTCTCTTAAGCGGTGGATTTTTCTGTGAAAAAGAAACATTCCATTATTATTTAAACAATAAATCTGCCGTAATCAGGCCATCTAGTATGTAATTTTTTCAGTAAAATTGATATTTTACAGAGAGAGTGGCAAGCATGGTTTGTCATATGACTGTTTTGGCGGGAAAGTATACAAGGGAGGCAACTCATGAGTGAGTGTACTTTTACGTCCTCTTCAAGGGAACTACAAGGGATTGCAAGTGTTCCACTATATGCATAGGAGGAGGAGACAAGCACAATAAGCATGAGTCAGGATAAGGAAAAATTTCATTGTTTAAGTCATTAAGTTTTCCTGAGGTGTTGATAATATTCAAGAAATAACAAAGGTGAAGGTACAAGTAACAAAAACTGTCACCAATGATGAAGTTACATTTTCAAAACTTGCGATGCCCCCAATCAGTTGCAAATGTGACCTAACATGTGATATCTAACCGGTGTACCAAAAATCAATTGTTTTTTACAGCAAGTGTTGGAAAAGGTGTGTATCGAAGACTGTTGAATAAACACCCCATAATTAGACAAAACTAAGCCAAGTACATTGAAACATAGACAATCGACTGTTAAATTACAGGAAAGAGACTTACCTCAGAATTTAAATGACAAAAATATTTTTACTGTTACCAATTGGTGTTGCACTGAGTCACACAAAATGGCACCATGTGTAGTGCTCTACACGGCCAAGCATAGTATGAGAAAATATTGTGACACTAACACATTTTTATTACAAATTAGGTGATCATGTGTGCTCTGATGTGCTTTATTCAGGGTTGTGTCATAGACAGGGTATATAAATTAGCATTGATTTTGAAGGCGTGTTGAGTGGGGTCATCTCATACAGTACATAGCAGTTTAAAACTAATGTCCAAAAACAGGGATGTATCCTTGAGTGTATAATCCATATATCTCCTATCTGAAAGGAATATAGATTAATAAAGCAACTCCACCAAAGCCCTGGGTTTTCCTGTGTCAATGTCATCAGGGGCCATCTCAAAAGTCGGTGTGTCAAAATAGAACAGCAGTCGAGGAGAACAAGGTCGAGCTCCTATCAACCAGTCCTTAGATATAGACAGTCCTTGAAGGGTTTCTGTCATGAAGGTCTGCAGCTTCATTCTGAAAACAAAACATCACTGACAGAGAACTTCGATACATACTTGTGAGTGAGTGGGGGCCCCATGATCATAATTACCATGTGTACAAAATGTAATTTTTTGATTAAAATTGATATTTTAAACTTATCCTGAATCATGCTTAATTGCTTGTCCCTTTCTTCTTGCGAATGATAGTGGAACACTTGAATCCCCTTTTGAAGCTCCCTTCAAAAAAGGGGACGTAAAATCACTCACCCAGTGTTATCTCCCTTGTGACTATTTTGGCGGGAAAATGTGTCACATGATCACTCTCTCCGGAATAAGCACCCGACACCTGGATTAGAGGGAATCCAGAGTGCCATGAGGGGAGGTTGGGAGGGCTTACCTCATGAGTCAGGATAAGTATAAAATATCAATTTTAATCAAAAAATTACATTTTGTACACATGTGGCTGCTTGTACTAGCCCAGACTGAAGCTGGTTTTATAGTGCCAGCCCAGAGATACCATGCCGCAGGTATACATGAATACCCCACTCAGACACATTATACTGACTCCGATCTGACCAGTCCTTATTAATGATGAGCACCAGGCAGGGACCAACAAGTACCATATTTTAACTTCTTTTGGTATGATGTGGCCGTGGATGATAGGTTAATAAGGGGAGTGAGTGAGTTCGGTGTAACACAGCTCACAGTTCCAGTTGTCAGCTTCATGTGGAAGGAAAGCAATGCAGATCTTGGGCATTTACCAGTAAGTGAAACCCAAAGCAGAGGGATGGTGCCGACAAAACCTTGACACATAATTGGGGTGAACCAGAGATTGTACCTGTGGTCATCAGTTTATGAAGTGCCCAAGGGATGTAACTCTGCAAAGCCACTGGCAATAAATGTTTATATTCTTTATGACAACCACATGTTGGAGTAAGGTACCATGGACCTTAATCAGAGTAAAGATTAGCACCAAACCAATGATCAGGAGATTCTTTCTTTGAGTGGCATTTTAGAAGTTTGGAAGTACAATATAGAACAAACTTTATGGATAACAACTTCATTGCAACAACGTTTGATCAATTGTCGTTGTTTGGAACATGGAATCTGCATTTCCACTGTCAATTGTCTTAGTGGAATTGTTTCCATAAGTTTTACAAGCCACTAAATACATCTGCAAAAATTTTCATGTTCAGGTCTTAAGAACATACAGGCTAAACAGAATATCAGTTATGGCATTCCTATTATTTTGTGAATTTGGACATGTCTGACTGAGAAGCAGAAAATATTTTTTGTACAAAATTATGACCTTCTTTGATTCACAATACAACTGGCCTGATGTTACTAGGTTTCTAGTAAAACATTCTTGTTAAAGTCTTGATCTTAAGAGTTCAACACTTGATATATATTTCTGGTTTGCTCCTAAAATTGATTTATGATATGTTCCAAGATCAAAAGTTTCTTGATTCATGTTAAAAGCTTAAAAACATAAAAAGAACTTTCAAAGTTCAAAAAGACTCATTCACTGAATATTCTCATGATAATATCATAAGTTACATCATATCATAGGGTACATCAACCCATGGGCCCCGAGGCACCAGTGAACAACTTATTTATCTTATGAAACACCTCAATGGTAATTTTGAACTGTTTGAAGCACAGGTATCAGATCATAGTATGGAGTACCAGATGACAAGACGACAAGAACAACAAATTTAGAGTTATGTCCCTTCCATCAATTTGCATTCACAAAACATCAGTAATTTCCGTATACCATATGTGACTCAATGTTATTCGAGATAAAGAATTTACTATCACAAAGTACCAAATGAGTTTGGCATTCCCAGTGGAGTACATAGAAAATGTTACTCGCTTGTACGCAGGTTACATTGAAAATATTAGAAGAGCGTACAGCCAATCATAAAACGACATTTATGTTTGAGGCAAGATAAATGGCAAAGATTCTTTTGTCATGAAACAGGAAATTCATTCAGGCAGGCAAGCAAGTTGATAGTAACTGATGCCATTGTTTGATACAATTGAGCAGAATGATGATAATTTTATGGATATACAACTTCTTTATTCTGTGAAAGGTGATATTTCGACATAGATTATAATGCCGTTATCAAGCAGGAAGATAATATGAACATGCTGAAGTTGAAGCACACAAATAATACTGACAGCTTGGATTTATCTGGGTCCCCCATTTAAATTTGTATGCATGAAGGAAGAAATAGAGATTATTACTTGAGCAAGTGTGTCATACGACATATACGAAACGAGTGCGAAATTTTGAATTAATTAAAATTTGTAAAAATTGAAATTATTGTAATACATAATTTTGCACGAGTTTCATACATGTCATATGGCACACATGCTCGAGTGTACAATTTTCCTTATTATCCATTATATTCATGTACATTTTTGCAGTAAAACACGGTAAGCAAGTGTGACGGCCATCTTCATTGACGTCACATTCAATTGTTTAATGATGTCACAGACGAAATACAGAAACAATAGTTTTATCAACATGAATCTGTTTAAGGTGACAGATGACAGTCTATTTCTTGATGGAGACAATTGCAGAAACTAAACAATCTGTTTTTCTACACATTGCTTCATATGTAGCTCTGTTTAAATTTCTTCTCATAACATCGTCTTTCAGTGCATTTTGGTGATCAGGTAAACTCATATGTCGAGATAATGTTGTCAAATGATAATTTCTACAGTTCTTAGTCATAGTATTTTTGTATTTAGACTGTTTGCAAAGTTTCCACCTTTATCGTCAGTCGATGCTCCCGTAACACAAGAATCATCATCAAGCAAAGTTTAGTTCATTTCAGCATCAGCATCGTGATCGCTGCCATTTTCGCGCTCGTCTTGAACAGCAGAAGTTTCGATGTGACAGTCGTCCTGTCTACTTTCACTTTGACGACTTCCAAAGAAATCTGTTATTCTATGGACTTTCTTCAATGTTGCCATTGTGATAATTAAACTTATCAAACAGTACAATACTATCTTCCAGTGAAAATACCTCACTGTAATTTGCCGACAAAACATTAAGCATAGCACCACGTGACCAGAATCAAGGTCAAGAGGATCGCTGCCGAGAAATTCTGATGATGGTATTTGTATCTTATCTGACAAATTAGAGAACTGCATTTATTTATAGCGATAGTTCCGAATGTATACAAACCATTCCAACTGATCAATGATGTTGCTGCTATTTTTAGATTCAGGAAATTACCCCACAAAATATTCTTGGACGGGAATGACAGACGATAATTTTAACTGTTATATACGCTGTATATAAGTAATTTTGCATGTAAATTTTCAATTCTGCGTATATTCTGATGCATTAATTTGTAAATTTGCGTATGAAACTAAAAACATGTGTCAGATACGCAAATACGAGCTCTAGATGCAACACTGTAATAAGACACTTCGTGTCTGGTGAAACAATGAGATAGCCCCCACAAACACCCCCAATACAATCCTTGGACACAGCAGCACTAACCTGACAGCATCCAGACTCCTGAACAGCTTCACGTAGCTGATGTCAAACGTGTTGCCTGGGTGACACAACTGAAAAGACATTTCCAATCTCTTGCATACACTTTGATCATCAATAGAAGTGCAGGGAGTGAGTGTGGTTTTATGCCGCTTTTAGCAATATTCCATCAATATCACAACTGGGGACAGATCATCAATAGAAAGAAAAGGCACAATGTGAGAAAAATGTTTTACCATGAAATCATTGAAAATTACTAAAAATTAGGGCACCCGTGCTGGAGCATCGGAGAAGAAAAGGTGGTGACACAAACACATGTTTATCACCAATTTAGTGATCATGTATGCTCTGATGCTTTGTTCAGGATCACATTACAGACAGTATATATAAATTAAGAGTTTGAAGGCTTGTAGAAGGGGGTATATATGGTATAGCCTTCACTTTTTACAACTAGCAGCAATCTGATGATGTGACCTACATACTACTGGTATACTCACCACCACAATGTGGGAAATATTCAGGAGTAGAAGAATTGTCTTGGCATATTTAAAATCTTCATCTTCCCACAAGGTAACAATATCCTGAAAACCAAAAGAAATTAGATTATAACAAGAAATATCAGCTTCAGCATAATTCAATGTAGAACTTGTTCTACAACAAACTACAGTGGCCTCATCATAAAATAGAACGTATTGTTGTCAAATAAAAAGATTATGGAGGGAGGGAGGGAGTTTTCACACAATATCACAGCAAGGGACACCAAAAATGGACTTCACACATTGAATCCATGTAGGAACTCATTTTCATTCTTTGGTTTGACAAGCGAATGTGAGTGAATGTTGTGCTATGTTGCTGTCATCATCATGTAAACAATATAGGGCTGGGATGGGTCCAACTTTTCTACCCGTAACCCCACCCCCTATTACCCTACCCTACCCAGATACAGATACTTCTGTTGTACATATGCTATTATTGGGAGGGGTCTTTTCTATTAATAAACACAATCAAACCTTTCAGTGACAAAGCTGTTTTTATATTCGATAGTAATTGATAGTAAAATCAATTTTGAGAAGAGAAATCATTTATTATTTAATCACAACAAAGTTCTATTTACCCACATTCAAACTTCTCAGTAACGAACCTGCTCACCCTGCTCTACTCACTAGACAGTGGATTGTTCCATTATACCCGTAGGTGTTACCCTAATTAACCTTCTAGTTCAGTGTCTGTCAAATGGGTGTCTGTCAATTGGGAGATAACCTTCATGTTAATTTCTGACATCAAATTTGCTGGAATGGCAATACATTCCTCAGTTCGGGGGCTAAAATTACGAGTTTTCCAATATCTTAACCATTTATTATATTCAAATTTATAATCTTAGCACACAATACAACCTTTTAATCATGAAAGACTAACATATTACATTGTTTAATCTTAGTCACAGACCCGTGAAGACAATACAACCTTTTAATCATGAAAGACTAACGGATATTACATTGACTTTTAATCTCCCAATTAGTCGATGCTCATGCTGTTGATCACTGGATTGTCTGGTCCAGGGATTATTTACAGAGCCATATAGCTGGGATACCGGGTAAAACTAAACTCACTCACTCACGATTAGTCACATGATCATGATGGGGTCATTGAGACGGGCCGGGTCCAACTCAATACCCACCCGCCCCAGGTATCCGGGTTACCCATCCCAGCCCTAAAACAATAGTCATGCTAGTTGTTAAACATATCAGCAGCAACCTATGCTATGAGGCTACAGAGACACACAATGATCCTGGTCATACAATGTCCCAGCCGTGTGGTCTTGTGCATAGAAGAGTGGTCTTTGAACAGCTTAACTCCTGAGAGAGCTTGGACTTCAGTGACAATCAGCATGAAAAGTGAGGTGCGATAGATAAGAGCTACCTGCGTTTGGCTGTAGGGAGCCCGGGGGCCCTGTAGGGTTGTCTCACAAGACAAAACAAGGTTTTGTTTTGTAAAATATATTCCTTACAACTGTCGTTGGATTTCAAAATGGACATTCTAATGCTTATATGTACCCCAAGGAGGACTTCTTCTGAAAATGAATGCTGAGAGTTTCTTGGACTTCAGTCCTGCCCCACAACGAAGCACATGTGATACATGTGGTTTCACCTTAGGCAAGAGAGTTTGTTCAAAATTGCCTCCATTCATCCAGCAGAAAATGGGTACCCCATGAAATAGGTTGTGAGACTATTAACCTTCTAGCACCTAGCTTGTGTTATTCTGGGTAATAAAGATCTGATTGTGAGCTTTGAGCTGGATATCTAGCCTGGAAAAGGTGTGTTATAAATATTCTCATTATTATTATTTAACAATTTGTCCAAACAATACACATTTTACATGGCTCTTATGACAAGCATGGCTTTTTAGCACCTGTTTCAGAATCTCCAAGGGGAATATGTACAACAGAGTATGTTTCTTAAAACTCCATTACCTCTGTTTTGTTATTGAGTATCTTCTGACATCGCTCCACGAGGCTGTGTGTGTCACCAAGAGACTTATGGTGGAGATACACTACTTGGGTGTCAGCTGTCAAAGAAACACTCAATCTCCCCCTGAAATCAATCAGTTGTTTTAAGACTTAAAGAGAGACAAAGAGTGTACACAACACAAGGAAGTTAAGGATTCAATCTTAACAATCTTGTCAGGAAATTCCTACTTGATTTCAAATATCGACTTGTCAACACTTTTTTGTGCATTTCTAAAATTAAAAAAGCAGCCTCCAAATCAACAACACTCTGCAACTAAACCCTAAGGTCAGAGCCTGAGACAAGTAAACTTCTGTTCTGTATTCAAACTCAGCAAAAACAGTCTACATAATGAAAATAAACTCAACTGAAAATGATGCTTAGAGCCCAGTTCTGGGAAGATTTTTGGCAATGCCTGCAACAGGCTTTGTCAAATGTTTCTTTGATCTATTTAGCACCTCTATAACAATCAATGGGACCAGTCATTTAATACTTTGGGTGTAAAGGTCAGAGGGCAGGAGATCAAGGAGTCAGGGGAGGGTAACTGAATCATACATATATTAGACTGCCTGCCTGACTGAGTTTGGTTTTATGCCGCTTTTAGCAATATTCCAGTAACATCATGGTGGGGACACCAGAAATGGGCTTCACACATTGTGCCCATGTGGGGATTCGAACCCGGGTCTTCGGCGTGACAAGCCAACATTTTAACCACTAGACTACCCCACCGCCCCTATACATATATTAGAGGAAAGTCAAGAAAAATTGGACAGTTTATTATAAAGGACAATGTTTTTCAAAAACATGACAAGCATTAGGAGAGAGTAATTATTTTCAGTACATAACTGCATCAAACACCTATGACATGACTTCACCCAAGCACATCCCAGCTTTCATATATTTTTTGTAATTTTTTTAAGCTTATCTTATCTCACGCCTGTAATAAATGACTAGTTTATCTTTGTTTAGGCCAGACCAATTTTGTTTCTTGTTTTACGGATTTTTGTCCTCAGAAAACCTAAAGGCAGGAGGGATAAAAATAAAAAATAAAACTCAGTCAAAGCAATATTCCTTTTAAATGCTAAAAGTATTTTATTTTTGGCAATTTATGAAGTGTATATGGGGCAAAAAAAAAAAAAAAAGTTTTTGTAAGTTTACATTTTTGGCCAATAAAAACATGAGGATGTTATTTTTGAGCAGGAAAAATTCATTTTCATTTTTTTCCTTATTCTTGAAAAAACATGACTGACGGATCCGTAAAACAAGAAATATAATTGGTCTTTGTTTTTCTTTCCATTTTATTGGATGCTGGATGCTGATTATCTATACAGTATGTTGTACATGTATATCAATACATATAATGTAAATATTTACCTTGTCCACCATGCCACCAATGTAGCTGTCTCCTCCCTAGGAAATAAAAGACAAAGTAAAGTGAGGTGAGGTGAGGTGAAATTGTGATTTACGTCGTGCTTGAGAATATTTTGCTCATATGACGACGTGCATGCGTGTGTATGTGTATGTGCGCCTGCTTGTACTAGCCCAGACTTAAGCTGGTTTTATAGTGCTAGCACACTGAGATACCATGCCGCAGTGAAGCATGGATACCCCACTCAGACACATTATACTGACTTCGAGCCGACCAGTCCTTGTTGTACCCATTGATGCTGAGCGCCAGGCAGGGACCAACAAGTACCATATTTTAACGTCTTTTGGTATGACGCGGTCGGGGATCGAACCCGCGACCTTCCGCTCTAACCACTACACCACGGAGGCGGTCGACAAAGTAAAGTAAAGAGGATGAGATTTAGCAATCTGCTCTGTGAGGAAAGGTACAGATAATGGCCATCACTTGTGAGTTTAGGAGAATCTTTAGAAAACACCAATTTGTACTCCCTGGTTTATTAAATCATGGACCTGTCCTACATTGCCAAGATCAGCTTATATTCTGGGTGTCACCATTTATTTACATGAGGCGAAATATTTTAAACGTTGTAAATGTTATTGACATCCTTAAAGAGGCTGTACTTGCCTCATATAATAGATATCATCAGCAGTGTTTAATGAATGATCAACAAATCTATAAACAATTATGCAAATTGGCATCATACCTTCCAATGCTACTTCTCTCATGGAGATATACATATACATGTATATCATTATCGACTTCAAATGACTTTCTTCACGCCAATCAGCATGGTAAAACCCTGAATCTGCACAGGCATCCATACCAAGTCAACCAGGTTACACATAACCACTTACTTCTCATTTGTCAGTTGTTATATCAATCATGGTTATTTGAACCTATTTCTGCCTAACTAAAACTGTGATTTTTTTTCTAAACCAGTGAGAGAGTCAATGTTATTAAGGCCTAAAAAAAATGTTGAGGTTACAACTACCCAACTGACCCTTGAATTCTAGTGCCGACCCTATTTTTCTTAAGCGGTATGAATAAAATAAGCTTTCAGATACCACTGTTTTTCCCGGCACCGGCGGACATTGGTCTTTCTGACAGAAAAAGTCGACATGATGGCCGCAAGCTTGATTGAATAAAACATTACACATTGATAAATGTGTTATTAGTTTGTACTTTACTTCTAAAAAAAAAATGTAAAAGAAACCCTACCTTCCAACCCTAAATTGTAAAGAGGTGTAATCACAACCATAATATTTTTTTTAATTTGGGCTTAGTATGACAGTACTATATTTCAGCCATATTACGGTAGCCTGTAAGTAATCAGGTTTGGACCTAATGCAATCCAGTGATGGATATCATGAGCAACAATCCCTGCCATATGAGTACAATGATACCGAGTTAACAAAGCCACCCATAATCCTAACGACCCATTCCAGTCTTTTGACAATTATAGGTAACTTTGCCCTATTTCTACACCACATTCCACACAAAGTGTTAATTAAAATAAGAATATCATTTTAAAATACAAACCATAAATACATCTCTCTCCAGGATTGGGTTTAATATTGAAGCTTTCGTTGCAAATCCATTGAGACGACTTTTTCCAATGATAGAGACAACACATACTTTTCTGTCTCTGTTTGGAAGAGTCCTGAAATTGTAACAAAACATAAATATAGTTATGAATGCTTATCCTATTTTACACTGTGTATATCTCCTCTTTTCGATCCCCAAGTGGAAACTCTGTCTGTCCTGTTTCCAGCCTAAAATAGACAGCTCACCTGAACACATCCCAGCTTTCACCATGGACACAACTGTTGTACATTCATGAATCATGTGCACCTATTTTCTCCTTGGCCTCCCTCTCTCAATCATTCTTCTTGGAAGTGCAATCATGTTTTTAGTGTGAGATAAACATACAGTTTGTTCAATTTCTTAAAACTTATCTTATCTCACACTGAGCATTTATCCCTCCAGCAAGAATGAAGGGGTCAGGAAGCCCACTTGTGTAACTCATATTTCAGTAAGCACTTATTAAAGACTGACCACATGATCACGAACTTGGTATGGTCTGTCAATCACAACTTAACACTTACCCCTGCATACAAAGGTCTAGCTACTGGGGTTCTACTAACTGTACTTGTACTGCAGTCGAGGATGCTAGTGGAGGCAGTTCAGCATCTCATTTCTCATCTCATTTTTGAGTCCATAAGACAATCAAATGTGACTGCAGTGAATGAATGTGCCATAATGAGCAAAGGTTTATGATCTACAAGTACATGTACAACCATACCTGGTCTCCAAGGGAGTGGCCAAAGAAGTAGCCAAAGCTCATGAAGTTGGGGTTACTGGTGAAGGTCGCCTACAAAGGTATAGGCTTGTAAGACGACACATCATAGATGGTCATCCAGGAGAATCCCTATCCCCATCTCTATTTCAGAATCTGTCCCAATAACATGGGTTCATCTGGGGATTCAGCAGTCCCTGCCTCTATTCCTCTCGCTCTTGGAGTCTAGGTGAACGTCATGGAGGAACTCTGTCTTTGGGGCAGTGAAGATAGTGGAGGCTGGATGCTCTGTGTTCATATGCACCATCTCTTCAAGTCATGGTATGCATAGGGATGAGGATCATCTCCTGTTGATACTGACTCTGTTGATCCAAGAGAAGGTTTCTCCACTTTGGCTTGAAAATCTTTACACACAGCCTCGAACACATCAATCAGCACAGGTGTCGCTGTCTTGATGAATGAGTTTAGTTATATGCTGCTTTTAGCAAAATTCCAGCACTATCATGGCAGGGGACACCAGAAATAGGCTTCACACATTGTACCCATCTCGGGAATCGAACCCGGATCTCCGGTGTGATAAGCAAACGTTTTAACCACTAGGCACCCTCACCTCCCCATCTTGATGATAGGAAAAGCTTTTTATCTCCTGATGTAGTGGTTATGGAGGTATATCTTGCTGCTACAATCATACATTGTTGTCTTGATGTAGCTAAGGCATCAAATCTTTGGTAAAGGTGAGGTGAAATTGGGTTTAACGTCGTTCTTGAGAATATTTCGCTCATATGACGATCTTTGGTAAAGAACGAATCTGAAGGTAATAGAAGCAATAGTAGACACAGCATATGGTTTAAAGATGATGACAGTTATACAGGTTTTTTCATACAACTGCCAAGGTTATGTGGTCATTGATTAAGAGCATCTGTCAATATCCCTCCTCTCATATTTACACAGGTAGATGATGAAAAAAGGTCCTCACACTTACAACATGGCAGTCAAAACACTTGTGTGGATCAAATTTGTGTAGAGAAAATCTATTTGCTTTGATCACACACCTTTTGTTTTCAGTTGTCCATGATGTGAGAGGACCTGGAATAATTAGGAAATAAATCTGTTCCCGTCAAATGTCAGACATGTTTTCTATTTCAGTGATAAGAAAGAGTGACAGTGGCACATCTGATTAAGTAGCTTGCAGTTACCAGTAAAACAATGGTCTCTATGGCGACAGCTTGGATGTGGGGTGTACTTTTAAGCTGGAAAGAGGTCAGATAGTTCCCACTCAGGGATTAAAATAAAAGCAAGAGAAATGCAAAGTGTGAAATGTTACTTTTCACTGAGTTGTTTGTAGTGGCCAGATGCAATATCACAGTGTACAATTTTAATAAGGTTGAGTAAATATTATCTAAAAGCTTATAGATACATATTTCAAGGTGAGGTAATTACATGATTTTATTGTTCTAATCCATCAAAGAAATGCAGTCAAGCAAATAGAAATGAAGTTATGGTTAAACAATTGATTCATTTTTCTGATTGTTGCTTTGGATCCACTTAGTATTCTGTAAATATTAACAAGTATCCTCTTCAAAAACATTAAGATCACTTCTTTTAACAGTGTTTAAGTTACATCACAGTAGGTTCACACAACATGGGAGGTCAACTTCACCACTTTCATGAAAAGACAATGCTGTTAAACCAAGAATCCAAATTGAAGTGAATTTGAGGTTCGAAACTGCCGTCAAAGGATTCATATCAAATAATAACCCTTGCTCATGATGGGTCCAGCCATGTCTCCCAAATTTAAAAATATGTCAGCTTTATAGATTTGTAAATTATAAACCAACTCTTACCTGAGTTCATAATGGGGGGTTTTCAGACCCCATCAGAAGTAAAGAGTATTATTGTTTGTTTCAACACCACAATCTAAAATATTCAAACTACAGAGTTTGGTTCATAATGAAATTTCGACCACACAATCAGCGATTGATATCATAAGTAACATCCCACTGTTCCTGTGTGTGAGTAAGTGATCAGCCCAGTCACTAAGACTTGTGTCATTTAGTCACTGCTTACAAGCATCCACTCCTATTCATAAAGACAAGACCTGTAGCATGTATATAAAAAAACAAGGTCTATTTTATCAATGGTAGCATCTTTTAAATGTTAATATAAGTGATTCATTTTGCAAAGCCTTAAAAATATATCAGTAAATAACCTAGAGAATTTCTTTCAGAAGATGCACTTCAGTAGCCTTTTGAAGTCAAGATGACAGAGAAATAATACAAATAAACAATAAATAGCCCAGAAGTGTAATGGGAACAATACTCCAAGTCCTGTTTCAACAATTCAACCAGCTCGGTTAAATTTGATCTGGCATGTTAATTAGTGTCAGTGAACAAACAAACTCAGTTTTGGACCAGTAGTGTTTATCGGCCACAATAAGCACATTTAGAATCAGCATAGTGAAAAGCCATCCATATTGGAGTACTTTGAAGCTAGAATTAAGTTGCTCTTACTAATTATCAAAGCTCGTGAGAGACTTCAGGCAAATTTGTTTTGTCACTACCTATGTAGTTTGAGCTGAAGTATGTTGACACTCCTATTAAACTAAGCACCGAACTACTGATTTGTTTTCTCTCAAAGCATTCTGTTTTGGTTTTGCAGACACAAATGCCGAAAATATAGGCGAAATATGGTCTCTGGTTTTTGACACAACTTTGAACTTGCTACCAAATGTGACTCGTGACGTAGTTCTTATGCCACAATGGCAGTTTAGTTATAATTGTTCAGAAACGAGACTACACGTCCACATGAGTAACAGGTGAACTATGAAACTTATTATAACTCACTGAATGTCAAAATTTGGTGGAAAAGAAAAGACATTCAAGAAGGCAGCCATTTCGGTTTATAATCAAAGGGAGGTAACTCTCATAACGTTTGCCTCGTACCAACCCACTAACAGAAAAGACGACAAAATAACATACTTTCTTTTTCTTTCCGGGTGGCGAACATATCCTATAGCGGCTCCTTCATCTTCTACCTGTTCAAATCGAACTGTTTCATTCTTTATGGTCATATTTGTTAATAGTAAATTAGTGAATATATTGGGTGCATAGTAGGAGGCAGCGACTGTTTCCCCTGTAGATTAAGTAAGTTTATACAATGTCTTTCAGTGAGTTTGAGAAATTTGCATGTACAATTTACCCAGTATTATGGAATTTTACAAAGTCTTCGGAAATATCTGATAACAGCTTGTGTATTTGTTAATTTTCCACCCCCAAAATGGGGAAAAGTCTGTGTATAAGAAAATCATCTCAGTTTCGAAAGGTTCAAAATATTATCACCGTGCTCTCGTTTTATCTAGTCATACTCCCAAGTCACAAATCAAATGGAATGAAACATTTACAATTAATCTTCCTTAGCATTCAATTTAACTGAAACCTTTTAAAACAACCAGGGATACAAAATTAAGATGGTTTCAGTATCGCTTGCTTCACAGACTAATTTCAACCAATGTATATTTCTGTAGAATCAAACTTTGCCTTGATGATATGTATTGATACTAGTAACCTTTGTAACTCTGAAAAACAAACTCTAGTTCATTTATTCTGGAAGTGTCAAGAAGTTCAATCCTTTATCATCATGGCTCAATGAACATTGTTGGCATTTTCACAACATGACTCTTAGTTCTGAACTTGTACTGTTTGGCCTTAAGGAAAATATTGTTATAGATGATGTATTTGATCTCATTCTGTTATTGGCCAATTTATTTTACAAGTGTATACTGGAGGATTGTAAGATCAGTTTTGAAATGTTTAAACATATTCTAACAAAGCGCTATACTATTGAGCCTCACACGTATTTCAGCAAGTCTAACTATAATAAATTGTATGTTAAGTGGTTTATGTACCATCCAATCTTTGATGAGAAGACTCAGCTTTACTTTATATGCATGTGTGTATTGACACCAGCAGCTTATTATCACTGTTCGTGTGAATCTTTGGTACTGCATGGTTATAATGTAATCACTGTTTGTATGTATGTGTGTGTGTGACAGGTGTATCTTGTCAAAAAACTGAATCCTTCCTATGTATTTTTCTCGAAGAGGGCAAGGATTTCCCTGGCTCCTTGTCCCCACCTGTAACAGGGATTCAGCAATAAAATATTCAATACAAGAAGAAAAATAGTTTATACAGATCTTCACGTTGAAACTTAGCTTATCGGAGAAAAAAAACGTATTTTAAATATATTGTATTAAAATACCTACAGTCATGTGTTAAATTTTCAAACATACAGTCTACCTTCTGTTGTGGTATACTTAGCACACGATTGTACACAACGTTCATTCTGGAATATTCATTTGGAGCAAATGCGTCGCAGGAATGGAACTGGGCGTCACTGAGTGAAGTGAGTGAGTTAGTTTTACGCCGCTTTTAGCAATTATAGTTCAGCAACATCACAACAGGGGACACCCGTGAAGGTCCGGGTTAGAATGAACCTTCAGAAACCCATGCTTGTCGTAAGAGGCGACTAACGGGATCGGGTGGTCAGGCTCGCTGGCTTGGTTGACACATGTCATCGGTTCATGCTGTCGATCCGGGTCTTCAGGCGTGACAGAGCGAACTGGAATATTGCTGAACTAAACTAAACTGCTCCAACGGACACCTGAAGGATACCTTACCCAAGCGGGGAATCGAAAGGTCTTCGGCGTACCGAACGCTTTAACTGCCCCGGCCTGAGGATACCTTCACTCAAAAGGTCTGTACCTGCCTTCCGCCCTGATGCATGTTTCGTTGAGGTATTGACAGGCGAAGGGTTGTCTGAAGCCGGCCTTGATCTTGACGTGACGTCATTGCACGTTCGACGCCCGGACGTGGACTGTGAGAAACGCCTCCAGTTGTTTCGTTATGTACAATAGTGGGAGTATGCCAACAATGGGTGACGGATATAGCCGAACGTTAGATTAAGTCAGCGACAGCTTTGGTTGACGTATCCTTTCATCAGTTTGTCGTTTTGCGTGAGTTTATTAATATATCACTTCAGGGGATACGAATCTACCTAAATAGTAACAAACAACCCCATTTAAATTGAAAAGGAGCCCCAGGGAGCCCAGAGATTCAGAACCTTAGGAAATCTAGACTTGCTTTATATAGGGCTTTAGCATTGCAGATAGGGCTTGGCAGTTGGGAAAATAATGTGTTTCAGGGACTGTGAGACAGACTATTCCGTAGCCTTCCATTGGTGAAATTTCAGTAACAGAAATAAAAATTTACGGGGAATGGAAAAAACTGGTTCTAAACCAAACACAGGTGAGGGGATACAGTGCCTGCATGTTGGCCGAGGCGTGAACGTTCAAACTTGTGACATCTTGGCACTATTCCGTATGTTAATGACCACCTGGTTCTTCCCTAGCTCGAGGTACCAGTCATTTGTTCAGTCTGTGTCCTGTAAAGAGATTATAAGGAAAGATTCACACCGTGGATGTACGTTAATACACTCCATCTACCATGTCGCCGAGCTCAACCCTCAGCAATGTTTCGGCCTGAGTCTGCCCCACAGTCAGTCAAACATATTAGTTTCCCTTCCACCAGCCCTTTCCTTTATGCAAAGCCCCTAAATGAAGCAAGTCTAGATTTCTTGAGGTACTCCCATCTCACCTGGGCTCCTTTCTAATTTAAATGCCGTTTTTCTGTTTATAATTACGACAGCCGTTGCTATGGTTACATTATTGACCACCAGTCGTTTTATAAATGGTACATTAACACATTTACAACAGCTGTAGCTATGGCAACATTGCAGATTCGTAAGAAATTCATCCGAATTTAACCTTAAATTATATATATGGTCTTCATCGCACAATAACGCTATAACAATCCTAAGACGGTGAAACGAAATGAATCCCTTTTTGGAATGGCTGGAGTTAAATAGTTAATTGATACTAGTTGAAATCAGTTCATAATAAAACTTTGCTCTGCCCTGTGCATATCAAGGTTGATGTTTTAGGTTCCCGTGAAGGCCCGGGTTAGAATATTGATCTTAAGTAACCCATGCTTGTCGTAAGAGGCGACTTACGGGATCGGGTGGTCGGGCTCGCTGACTTGGTTGACTCATGTCATCGGTCCCCAATGGCGCAGATCGATGCTCATGCTGTTGATCACTGGATTGTCTGATCCAGACTCGATTATTTACAGACCGCCGCCATATAGCTGGAATATTGCTGAGCGCGGCGTTAAACAATAACCAAAGACAAACTTCCACTGACAATATTAATATTAACGGATTGTGACCATATTTGATAATTAAATACGACCGATAGATGCAGCGTAAAACTAAACTCACTCACTTTATATTTTAGGTCCGTGATTTTATACAGCTGTTCACCGAGTTTTGCCAAGTCAGCAATGTTGACCTGTGCACTATTTCTATGTGTCTTCATGATCCAGAAATACACAGTTCGCCCCTAATTACATATGGCACCTGGGAGTAATGAGATACCACGGGAGTTCCTCCTAGTTGTTGTCCATTACAATTCACAATAACATATACACCTACACAACACACACAGACGCGCGCACACACACACGCATACATTTGACAGATACTTTAAGTACCAGGGGCGGTGGAGTAGCCTAGTGGTTAAAGTGTTCGCTCGTCACGCGGAAGACCCGGGTTCGATTCCCCACATGGGTGTGAAATCCATTTCTGGTGTAGTGCTAAAAGCGGCGTAAAACGGTACTGACTCAGTCACTTTAACCCATATGAGGCCCATTTCTGGTGACCCCCGCTCTGATATTGCTGAAATATTGATAAAAGCGGCGTAAAACCGTAGTCACTCACTCAGTTTAAGTACCAAACGCTTTATTGTACCTTCAATAATTTCTTGCCAGATTCCATCGAAAAGAAAGAGACCCTGCTCAAGTGTTGTTGTTTTCCATATGTTGCTTAACCCGTACTATAATAATTCATAAGTCGAGTCTGGACCAAATAGTGACAAGACCTAATCGCCCTATCCGTCAGATCACCGCCAACAAGCGTAGATCCGGGTTTTATGTATGAGGAATCTAAACAAAAATGTTGATGAGGTCCTACACTGTAACTGAGGTTAAACAGTATGTCACTAAATGTCTGTTCATAAAACCAACTGTGTATACTCAGGCGATGTGTTTCCATTCGGTCCAGTTACCATGACAATTGTTGGAACCAGAATTAATTCGGTCTGCGTTCCAAACGAAGCATAAAGATGATGTGTTGCAGATCTGTGTACACCGAGTCAGCACTTACCACCATGTGCTAATTGACAGCTGTTTAGCAGAGAACAAATGTCCCTCTAAATCTTGTCTCTTCCTGGTGTTGCATGCCACTGTAACAGTGAGTGAGAGGTTTTAATACATGTACTTCAGTAATATCACGACGGGAATTCGGAAAATGTGTGTAATCGAAGCCGGGTTTTTGGCGTGACGAGCAAACGCCTTTACCACTTGGCTAGCCAGCCGCCCCCGTAATTCTAAAAAAACGGAAGTGGGGAAGCTGTAGGATTTGGAGGCATGACAAAAAGGTATTGCACATGATCCCCTGTCCCATATGTACCTTAGACGTGTGGTGTTGTTCAAGATGCCATATTTTAACGTCTTTTGGTCACACCGGGTCGTTTACTCAGGGACAGACTTGGTAGAATGATCCCCTGTCCCATATGTTTAGTAATATCACACAGGCAGACTTGGTAATTTAGTAATATCTCCAGGCGGCCGTGAAGTTGCAAGCTTATTGCTGACTGCGGCGTCTAACAACATTTACTCACTCATTCCAACCCACTGTTTTTATTGGTTATTGTTTAACGCCACAGTCATATTCCAGCTGCATGAGGACGGTTTCCAGATAATGGAGCCTAGACCAGATAATCAAGTGATTAACGTCATGAGCATCAACCTACGCATTTGGGATACGAAGACAAGTGTCAACGAGGACAGCGAGCCTGACCACCCGATTGAGTGAGTCACATCATACGCTAAGGTTGCTGAAGATCAGTTCTAACGGGGATCTTCGCTGGTAATGCTATGTGTATGTAAATGATTGCAGGTATATGAACGTACTCTACCTCCACATAGCTGCACCTACATGTTTTACCTATCTGTCATCTCTGATAACGCCCACAGTCCACTAACCTTGTCTCTGCAGTCATACTAAATAACTCGACACGTGTTGGTGAGAGATAAAGGTCGCCGAACAAGCACATGATGTAGACGCTGTTGCTGACCTCAATCAACGAAACTGTATCATACAACAGGTGGTTGCCGTTGTCATCGTTTTATCAACGTTTCACGCACATAACGAGCCATTACTTTTGTACCCGAAAAAGACGAATTTGTATGGCTTCAGGGTGTATTTTAACTGGGTTAAACACATCTAAAAATATTTCATCAGAGCGAATAGTATGATAGCTAAACATAACCTATATTACAATCAAAAGGCGCAGTGTGCTCAACGTCGCTTGGTATTTATAAGGAACGTCGGTATGTTGCAATCTCATCCATGATGGTGCATATTTTAATCCTCAGTTCGGTTTCATCAACACATACGTCTGTTTGAGTGAAGCTTAACTAACAATAACAAATCCTAAAAGAACAATGGTCCTGAATAAAAGACAAGGGTCAGGTTTACTTTCAGGTGTTATCACTACAACTCCACACAGTAAATCTAAAGTAAACACACACCTCAGTTCTGGTTGTCAGCATTTTGTGGAACAGAGCTAAGGCCAGAAATGTTTCCCAAAAAGCATGACTGCAATAGAAGAACCACCGTAACTAACCTCTTGACAATAAATGAATAAAACTACACCTGTAATGGCCAGTGGCGGATCCATTGAAAATGACTTAAGATCACATTGAAGATTTTTTTTTTTTGCGTTGGTGGAGCCAATGGGGGGTTCAGGGGGGTTCAAACCCCCTGAACCCCCTCATTTCTAAATTCCTGGCTCGACCCATGATGGCTATGTTACATAAATAGGGGTCAATGAAAAGAATATTTCAGAAGTTGAGAAGAATGTCAAACATTATCTTTTCAGCTTTAATAGTGTCCATGAATGTATTGTTTGATATGTAAATACATTCTGTTGTATACAGATGGGGGAAAATAGACTGTTAAAAAAAGCCTCCTCTTCGCTCATACATATAAAATGGTTGTTCCCAAACATTTCGAGTGTGTGTGTGTGTGTGAAAGCGTAAGAGAGAAGTAATGATTTCCCTCTTCTTTCTCCTTCCTGTATGACTATACAGGAGCAGATCCTTGATTTTGGATGAGGGGTGCACATAAATCATGAAGACCAAAGGTTAGGGAGAAATGCTCCACTGAGTTTTTAATTTCGTGTGTGTGTGCGTGCGTGCGCACATCCATCCCTCTGGATCCGCCCCTGACTATACATCATGCTGTTTTCTTCACAACTTGCTGACAATTGTACATGCTCAATTATTCAGGTAAAATGTGTTCCTTGTTTTGAATTACCATCACTATCTCCCGATATCAATTCTAGCTCAACAATGTGTTCTCTGGTCTGAGCAACATTTGTTAAAATATGTCAGGATCGTTCTATTCCAAACAAGCCCAAATGATCACAATAAACTGGTGGAATAACACATGATTAACCCAGGATTCTCAACTTTCAGTAAGTATGCCCAATTTTGTCCGATCATGTTATGACCACAATGAGTATTATAGATGGTTATAATGCATGACCAAGGCCAACAATCTGAGCAGTAACACCATCTATTATGTTATAGTGTGGGAGAAATTATGTTCTGAGACCTGAGATCATCTTGTGCAAGTCAATCATGGATGATGGTTTGTCACTGCAGCCCAACAGTGTGGATATCTGCTCATTCTATAAACCATCAGGGGCACTGGGGTAGCTTAATGGTTAAAGTGTTATCTTGTCACGCCAAAGACCCGGGTTCGATTCCCCACATGGGTACAATGTATGAAGCCCATTTCTGATGTCCCCGCCGTGATATTGCTGGAATATTGCCAAAAGCGGCACAAAACCATACTCACTCACTCACTATTAACCAATGGGAATATTTTGTTTTGTGAAAAGAAATTTTACTCTGGTACAAACTAACCTCTACACAATCTCTAGACTCAATCAAAACTGGTATTTTGGCTCAACAAAGGTATCAACTAATCATCACTACAAGCTCTAGACACAGTAACAAATAATAGCATTTGAACAAGTTTATTTCAAGCTAAAACCATTATAATGGTTTACAAGCAAATTGTCATGTTCCCATTATACAAATGCCTCGAATCATAACACAAACATCACTCTTTTTTTCTACAACATATTCACAAACACCTTTAATAAACTTAAATAAACTGTCCTAATAACTGAGTCCCAAACCCTAGAACATACATAGAACTATGTACACAATTAAGACAATAAAATGACTCATGAACAATATAATACAATAAAAGCTACAGTTGTGATAAAATGTGTAACATCAACACAAAGTTAAGGGACAAATTAATGCTTAATTTAACTGTTCTGTCTTACTTTGTACACACAGCTAATATCAGTGTTGGGCTCCGACAACATCACTGCAGGGGACAGCTTTGAAGAGATCTGATGAATGTTTAATTTTATGATTGATGAGCTTGAGATTTTTCTTTCTTAATTTATGGTATCACGTTGAGCAGACTGATGAGTTTATCATAATTCAAAAGTCATACATTCACCAGTTTGAGACAAGCTATCATCATGACTCATTTCCACGAATACTTACAGAAAAGACAACACTACTGCCTGTGCCATGTTTGGGGGAATTTATTTGAAAATGAAGAATTTGAGACTAGCTAAAGACTATTTTTTAATAAATATAACCAAATGAAACACAAAGTTTAAATATGTGTCTAAAATAAACAAAAAATCCAATTCACCAGTTACATACTGGCCACATTTTTCTTGAAAAGGGAAATATTAGAGACAAAAACGGCAGAGTGCTGTGACTGGAAATAGAACACGAGCGGCTTGAAATGTTCCAATGGTACAACTTGCACACTGACATTTGCTGTGATATTGGAGAGCTGAGAAATATTTACAAAAGTATAGAGAACTAGAATCCCTATGCTCCATAGACGCTTTCATCACTGTAGGCAATGTACAAGAAAAAGTCCTCCTCGTGGTGTTCCTGCAAACAGAAATTTATGTCATAAATATAAATAGATGATCTATTATTCAATAAGTATACAAGACTGATTGAAATTTTGCTAGACTTAAGCTTTGGACTTGTGGCTACAGCTGCCAACTGCAAATATCATCAGATCATCCAAGCACAAGCTATGTGGTGGCGGTCTGTAATCAAATCTGGACCAGAGAATCCAGTGATCAACAGCATGACCATCGATCTACACAATGGGGATATGATAACATGCCTGACTACCCGATCCCTTTAGTCGCCTCTTACAAGCATGGGTTACTGAAGATTAATTCTAACCCGAATTTTCACAGGTAGAAATGAAAGCCAAGATTAATTTCAAAAACACATGAAAATCTTTAAATTCATCTTTTTTCGTGATTCTGGTGGCCACACTGAACAATCACCAAGATCAAAGCAGGATCAAATTATCCATAATACTATACAAACTGTATTCATTTAGCTTAACAATGCTTCTAATATAAATCAAGTATGGCTTCCAGGGCTCCAGATAACTTTTGGGGGTGCGAGTGTACTTACACATCATATTGCAAGTGGAGGTGTACTGAGAATTTTGAAGGAGTACTGACAATGTTTTTGTGCGAGTGAGTTGGTGATGTGGTTTGTCTGGACGATTCATCGATCACTATTTCCAACCATGTATTTGTATTTAAAGACGCGTGAGAAATAACTGAGCGACCGTGTGATGTGCGCAAATGTCAGCTCTGACTGGATATAAATAGGAACAGTGTAGTTTTTAGCCAATCGAAAAATAGTGACGCATATCGTTGCATGGCAACGCAAGGGATTCCTACTGTCGGGATTTCCTCATGTGTCAAATCGTGTTTCGCAAAAGAAACTTATTATCCGAAATAGATTTCCATTTGCACGATACGCACGGAAATTAAATGTTAGACGTACAAAGGTATTTATGTCCGTACACGATACGCTTGAAATCTTATATTATGTCGTACTTAATTGATTTTGAGGCGTACATTACGCCTGTATGCGCCTTATCTGTAGCCCTGGCTTCTGAGGTGGCAATTGGCATAAACAGAATAGTCTGACAGTCTTTGTAGTTTCAGTTATATACCTGCAATTGTTTCAGATTTGGAGAGTTGTTCCAACAACAAATGACAAATTGGCCTAATGTGTCAGGGCCTTCCAGGCCATCTTAACTAAAATTGTTCGTAGGTTTGTACATATACTGGACAAAAATAGTTAGGGATATATGCAAATTTTTAAATTATGAATAATGATCTATTTATTCATTGTCACACTGATCAAATATCAATCATAAAAATACCAATATACCCAACTTATATTGTCCAGTATATTTGGGTTTTTTGTACATTGTGGTCATGGTGCCATTACCTGGTATAGAGCTCCCATGGTTGCACTGGTTGGGGGAATCACATTGTTCACAAAGAAGAAGAGGGCATCTTCAGGGCGGAGATGGATACGTTTACGGATGAGGAAGTAGAACTGTCCAACTGTTAAATCTGATGGCACCAGATATTTCTTTTTGTCCAGATCACCTACTCTGGCTTTGGGGGCTTTCTCAACAATGACCTGTGCAAGAAAACATATCGGTTCTGATATTTTGTTACCATGCTTAACTAAACTGACAGCAAACCAACGCATTATCTCATGGCATAAATATGCAAACAAAAGAGGTCCAACTGGAGTAAATCTGTTGTGACAGCATAAAAATTACAGCAATATAATTTGATCAAAATATATCCAAGATATTGGGTAACGGTATTCCCATCTTTGCTTCAAACAATGGTGATTAGAAGCGATCAACCAAGCACTTCACATACATTTTTGTCAAAATTGACTATAACTGCTGAATGAAATTTTGAAATAATATGAACAAAATTGACAGAACGCATTTGTGATATCCTGCTTCATGATTTCAATTCTAATTTCAGTCTAAGGTGGCAGTCATTCTCTAGTTTAACAAGTGATGAACTATGGACAACAAAAAAATGATACATATGCACCTTTATATAAACCTTTTACTATATTTGTTTCATTAACAAATCAGGGGGATCACATGACGACATGATACCTGCCAGGGCTCGACTTAGTGCTTTGTTACTTGCACTGGTGCAACCCAATATTACAAAGTGCAACTAGTTATTAGTATAACTTGCACCAGGTGCAAGTCAGTTTTTGAGATATAAATCAACAATAAATATAACATTATAAGCATAATAATGTCAACTCATTTTTCTTCTAAGGGACCGTTCATAATTTATGGCTAGGGTGGTGATGATGATTTTAAGGGGGGGGGGTCCACCCATTTTGTTCTTGGGAGCTATGGGGGTCAGCAATTTTGTACATTAAATTATGTTTAAAATTATGCTTAGAAATTATGGGGGGAAGGGGGTCATTGATTTTGTACATGACATGCAGGGAGGATCACTTATTTTGTACATAAATTTTAGGGGGGTCATTCACATTGTACATGCTTCTCCATAAAAAGAATCATCATCCCCCTAGCCATAAATTATGAACGGTCCCTAAACTTTGAATATCTAGGACACCGAAACATTGCTATTTATAGACCCCTCTCGGCTATGACAGCTCTTGTAAACAGGGATCAGCTGTGTGGCCGTGTTGCTATGGTTTCATGGGTGCTATATCACCGGAAATATGTTTATGTGCACTGAAACCTCTCACATCATTTTAAGTGAGTGAGTGAGTTGGGTTTTACACCGATATTAGCAATATTCCAGCAATATCACGGCGGAGGACACCAGAAATAAGCACAACTAAGCAAAAATAAATCAGTCTTGCCATTGGAAAACACAGAATGCAGGAAAATCACATTGACACCATGAAATTTTTTTTCAAGTTAGCATAATGGATAGCAAAAAATGAAAATAAAACATTTATAGATTTCCCCCAAATGCTTGAATTTTTAGAAATGCTCAATTAAATCAGACCAGACATATACAAATGACAAGAAAGCATGAGAATTTATTGGCCTAATCAATGAATCTTTTCTTAGGAAAATGCAATAAAGGCAGTGCAATTGGAATTTGGCTGGTGCAACTAGGCTTTTATCTTTGGTTGCACCTGGTGCAAGTAGGTCAACATCTCTTAAATCAAGCCTGTCTGCATGTCACATTCACCACCATCCAGACAAGGTCCATCATCATTGCATGGAAAAACACCAAACTGTTTCCTGTATCCATGACTACAGAATAAACACACAGAGTATGGTCTTATAAGAGTGTCAATTATCACATCATTCATGTTCATGGCATTGCCTGCAATCTCAATACTATCATAAGACAACTATCTTCTAAAGAATTTAGAAAACACCGCTGACAAATAACATAAACATTTACAAATATATACAAGTGACTTCCCATGTCATAAGCCTTGAAAATGTAGAGAACGAAACCTGTCAGCCAAATACTGTGTGCCACTGGACACATTAGTATCAAGTTCAGACATGTTTACCTGCCAAACAATACACAAGTATTACATCAAGAAACTATTCTGCATTTATCAACAATACATTCAGAGGACAAGAAAATGTTCATCCATATCATTTGTAGAATCAGAGGCACTCAACAAAAAAAGGATTTCCATACATTTCCACCTTGTTTACATTAAATTCAACATATTTATGTCATCAGTAATGTGATATTGGTGCAGTATTTTTACTGGTTAATTGATCGGTACAGGCATGCATATTTGAATGTCAAGGTCATCTATGGTCGACAAGTGGGTAAGATTGCCGATGATTTTGGAGAAAATGCCTACTTTTCGTCGAGGAAATGATATGTTGATGTTGCAATAAGTTTTTAGACCAGTGGAATAGGGCATTCACAAATTCCTTACTATGATTCACTGTCACATGCTCCTATCCCATCTCATTCAGTCTAGCATACGCCTTCCAACAATTAGTGTTGGGAATTGGTTAAAAATCTTATAATTGATGACTGGTTCATTACAACTGATCAATCATCGAAAATAGTTGGTTAGCGTTATTTATCAAATTGTCCTGGTTATGTTTGTTAATGTACACAAAATAAAGAAAAAAACGTAGTTCTTTCGGTTGTTTTGGCAAATATCATGTCTTTAAGGATGACTAATATATTAGGAACATAAATTTCCTGGAGTCTTCAAGATAAATTTTAATCATGACTTGGAACGAGCTTGTAGTGCTTATGAAACGCAACAAACAAAACCAACCTTGTGATAAATATTGTCAATGCAAACAAGTGTTCCAAAATTGTTTGTGTTCGATTATGACAAAAGTGATCGATTGCTTAGTCGTTTAGTCATTACGACCAATCTTCGATTATTTCAATCAATTGGACCACCACTACCAACAATCAGAATGAATTATCGATCCCTGTTGCACCCACTTTCTTAACACACTCAAAAGGGTATCCGCATCACCATGATCACGCTGCCAAAAACATCCTGTTACTTTCTTTCTCGATACCCCCAAACAACATCCACTCGCCTTCCTCTGTGAAACTTGCGCTTCCCAAACTTACTCTCATCAATCTCCACTTCAATCCCTGGCCCACCTGCAACTGCACTTTCACAAAATTCTCTCTCACTTGATAAACCCAATAAAACGTCAATTTCATAATTTCACTAACGGACAAATGAGACTTAAAAAACCAACACCTTGCTACAATTTTATAATAGCATTTTTTATTTGAGCAACGCCACACATAACCCTCACTCCAATTCGAATCCTTTTGGTTTCCCATACTCCCACTGTCACACTTTACACACTTCCCACTGTTATTTCCAATCAAACCAAACACTTCCAACCAATCCATCAACTTTCTCTCATCTCTACACAACTCATACAAATCGTCATACACTATTCTCCTCACAGCCATAGCTAAGCAAGTCAAATAAACAAGATTGAAATCAAGCGACAAGCAAAATACAACTCACCGACCGTGCGCGTTAAAGTTGTGGCAGTCGTAGTAACCCACTACCTTATTTGGAACATTCAACACGTGCATCCACAATTGACCAATTAGAGAAAAGGTATGTCATCGGGATTTCTCCTTGATTACTAACGATTGGATTGATGTTTTGGAGTATTACTAAAATTCGTGTTTAAAACTATCATCTTTCAGACGAAGTTTTAAATTAAACTTTTGCCAGTAAACACGAAAATGACCTCTAATTTCATCTAAAATGTCTCCTTACGGAGATCAGCCCGCTCTCGCGTACTTCTCTATATATAAGACGCGCTGCATGCGTCACTTACTGCCAAAGGCAGAAACATGCGTTCAGCGCAAAGTGCGAGCTATATACAATACATTTCTACTTCCGGGTGCAGGGACCCGTAAAGTGCAGGTGTCCCTTTCATTGTATAGGAGTTCAAAGATTTTGTAGAGAACAATATGTTGTTGCACTGGCATGCATAAATCCCTTTGTACATGGGGTGGGTAGAAGGTAATCTTTACAACTTGTCACAAACAATTCCTCTATTCATTTTTTCTGAATGAGATTTGAATCTACAAAACATATCTATAAATTATATACACTATAATACCCAAGTATTGTAAATGCAAACATCTTGCTCCCATTTAGCCTACATGGTGAAAACATGGCAACCCCAACTGAACAAACATTATGTATTTTGCAGAACACCCAGAATGGCACAAACAAAGCAAAGAAATGTGCTACGGTTACCTTTCATGCTAGGTATACTGAGTATCAACGAATGCAATGTCAATGGGTCACAGAATCCATAAGACAGTTCACTGACATTTATGACGTAATCAGTGTTTGTTCACCAATCGTCATAAACTTTACATCGATTTAAGCATTCGGGTGGAAAAGGTTTGATGATTGTTTTGTTTTTGTTGAGGAAATGCTTTTAGAGACGTAAACTGACTTGTCTGATTGCTCCTTTCATTTTGAGCAGAAAAAGAAAACAAAAATGGCCGAATCGACTTTCATTATTGTATTGATTTGGCAGATCCCTCACCAAAGTGAAATGTATTCATCAAATAATGAAACTTTGGGTGAGATGAGGAAAATGACCGAGCGAAAACAAACAACGATAGACTGGTTACACCACAACACAGACTCCATTATTCTTGGTCAGCTGTTTGTTTTCGTATTTGGAAAGGGAAGTAGATCTTGCCCCTATTTTACGTCTCTGCTACTTACTGGGACACGGTCAGGATACTTCTTCCTGATTTTCTCCCCCTCGGCCCGCCTCTTCTCAAATGGATGCTCCTCTTTGTACTGCCACTTCATTGTGATCGTTGTAAATGTTGAAATACAACTGTTGTGATTATGCTTGTTTCCAACCTGACAAGATGGCGACTTTGCTGATGTAAACACAAAGCCTACTGCGCAGCGGCAAATAGGTCAGATATAAATGTATGCTTTTACGTACAAATCGATGATAAATTGCTCTCACATAAACAATATTGTCAATACTTGGTATGTATAAAGTCGTCTGGACCCGGAAAGAATATATCCCAGCTTTCCTGTAAGTTTTCAATGTTGTATTTATTCACTGTCACGAGGATTGTTACACAGTCACGTGACCTGGCGTAAAGGAAAACCCAATGACGTTTGATGTTATTTATAGCATCAAAACATATAACCACGTGCATATTGCACCAATCGCCTGCAATTCTGTCATGATAGATCGTACATACATACGTGTCCTTTGTCTACCGCGACATTCTAAGTACTTGGTAGAAAATAAATTATATTTTCTTGACGTGCCCAGGATAATGTTTGAAATAGCAAAGGACTGAAACTTATTTAGTCCCGTGAAGGTGACAGAGTCCGCGACATATGAATACCACAAAATAAACATACACACCCGCTCAAGAATCTAGGGATAGGCGACAAGGTCACGAAGGTTCAAACTTCCTTCCCCTGTTGTTAGTGACTGTTACGTTAAAACACAGTATCATCCCAAATAGTAACGTCTTAGATACCTGTAAAACGTGTATTTGTAAGATCGAAAGCGTTCGTATTTCAAAATATATTCAACCTTTCCAGCTGACGATTTGTTAATTAAGATGGGTTCAAACAAAATTAATTATTGTAAATACAGATTTCAAACAGCATTGATTTAACCGAAATTTACTCACTATTAACTATATATCTGCACATGATATCATTGACTCAGTAAGCAGTTTATGACGTGATTCAATATTGTGTAATCCCCGATCATCAACACACGTGTATTTTACTTACTCTGTCAACAACCATTGTTTACGCCTTTGACAGGAGCACGTGAATAGCTGTAATGACGCCACAAACAGTTACGTCAAAGCTTACAATATTTATCACTATGTTGCCAGTGTTGCGGGTCAGGACAACCATTGTTCGGAGTTAAACACTTCTCCACACAAAGCATAACTCAGTGGCTAATCATTGTGTTTCAACTCCATTCAGTGTTATTCAACGCTTTCTTATTGGTTGCACTTTGAACTATTGACATGTGTCATTGTATGTGAAATGGTAACTATTAGCAGAATGACAGAAATAAAATTTTACAACTGTGGTTTTTTTGTGCAGGCAAATGCTTTTTTTTTCAACAGTCAGTAAAGTACAATTATTTGGGTTTTCAAAGATTTTTTTCAATCCCAAACAAGTCCCTCCCAAAAGAAGTGGTTGCTTCCTCAGCCGACATTTATGATGTGATTTCCCGAGTGAGGCCCAAGCCTCCGTCAACAGGGGTTGTCCGTGACTTGATTAAGCCTATATGTTTGCCACTACCAAACAGAATTTAATTTTAGATTTATCGAAATCAGATTTTACAGCTTTATGTTTCACATTTACTCCCGCCACGTGTACACAATTTCGTTTCATGTGTCAGTATGTGTTCGTTAGCAAAGATTTCACGTGATGAACTCTGAAATTGTCATTTATACTCTCAGTTGGAACTGTCACTCACACACATTTCGTTAAAACCACCATTACGTTTTTAAACGTTACAATTGCCCCACTCTCTTTTTTGTTAAGATAATCATTCTTGTTTGTTAAGACCACCACCACCACCACCCCGTTTTGTTAAGACTACCACCTCCTTTATAAGATCACCATCCCTTTTTGTTAAGACTACCACCTCCTTTATAAGATCACCATCCCTTTTTGTTAAGACTACCACCTCCTTTATAAGATCACCCCCTCTTTATTAGACTACTACCTCCTTTATAAGATCACCATCCCTTTTTAAGACTACTATCTCCTTTATAAGATCACAATCCCTTTTTAAGGCTACCAACTCTTTTATAAGATCACCATCCCTTTGTGTTAAGACTGCCACCTCCTTTATAAGATCACCATCCCTTTGTGTTAAGACTGCCACCTCCTTCATAAGATCACCATCCCGTTGTGTTAAGACCACCACCTCCTTTATAGGATCACCATCCCTTTGTGTTAAGACTGACACCTCCTTTATAAGATCACCATCCCTTTGTGTTAAGACTGACCACCTCCTTTATAAGATCACCATCCCTTTGTGTTAAGATCTCCGCCTCCTTTATAAGATCACCATCCCTTTTGTTAAGACTACCACCTCCTTTATAAAAACACCACGTTTTGATAAGATCACCACCCGTTTTGTTGAGACTGCCACCTCCTTCATAAGATCACCATCCCTTTGTGTTAAGACTCACTTTTATAAGATCACCATCCCTTTGTGTTAAGACTCCACCTCCTTTTTATAAGATCACCACCCCTTTTGTGTTAAGACTGCCACCTCATCTTTATAAGATCACCATCCCTGTTGACTGCAACCTCTTTTATAAGATCACCATCCCTGTTGTAGGTTATCATATGTTGGTACATTCATTCATATTTTTATTTAAACTGGCATGACACTCAACACTCAGTGTACTAATTTCCTATCGCCGACTGGACGTCAAAATGACTGTGTTTCTGCATGAGCTTGAAAGCTTGTACACATGATCTCAACAACTGCCTCATATTGCTCACATAATGAAACATGAAAATGAGAGCTATATTCATATCATCCATTTTATCCAATGCTCACAGACGCTCCTACCCGTGAAGACCCGGTTAGAACTGATCTTCAGTAACCCATGCCTGTCCTAAGAGGCGACTAACGGGATGGCGTGGTCGGCCTCGTGACTTGGTTAACACATGTCATCGTATCACAGTTACGTGGATCGATGCTAATGCTGCTGATAACTGGATTATCTGGTCCAGACTGGATTATTTACAGACCGCCGCCATATAGCTGGAATATTGCTGAGTGCGGCGTAAAACTAAACTCACTCACTCACAGACGCTCCGGTTAAAGAATCGTTTCTTATTTTAAGAGAGCAGATTTAGCATTTTCTTCTAATTTTATTGTGGCTTTGAACCTTTCTGAAACCAGAACATCGGCTTGGAACATCCCAAGAATATGCCTGGTTACTAAACTCTATATCCAGAATGTACAGATGGTATCCGCGTAGCGGTACTTTACTAATTGTTTCAAAACTGACAAAGTATCTATTGGTTGTATATAATTATCAAATATGTTCACAATCCGTTCATATCAATATTGTCAGTGGAAGTTTGTCTTTGTTTGGTTATTGTTTAACGCCGCACTCAGCAATAATCCAGCTACTATATGGCGGCGGTCTCTACATAATCGTGTCTGAACCAGACATTCCAGTTATCAACAGCATGAGCATCAATCTACGCAATTGGGATACGATGACATGTGTCAACCAAGTTAAGCAAGCCTCAGACCACCCGATCCAGTTAGTCGCCTCTTACCCAATGGATGTAAAATACTGACTACACAATATGTATGTATTTCTTTTCATGTCGACTCAGGGCCTAGATTTTGAGAAGCTCTCTTAGCGCCAAGATAGTCGTAAGTTAATGTTAATGTACGGCACTTACGACTATCTTAGCGCTAAGAGAGCTTCGAAAATCTAGGCCCAGGAGGAAATTCTACAATTAGGTCTAATGATCGTTCAGCAGACATGGTTATCACGATTCATTTCGTTTGTATGCGGAAGACAATAGTACCAATACCTTCTGGTTCTTTGACCATGCATGTTCAGATCGTAATACAAGATATTTGATGTTTCCAGTGCTTTGAAACGGTGCTTCTGTTACTAGTGGGGCGGTGTAAACAGGTGAGTGGTTAAAGCGCAGGCTTGTCACGCTGAGATAGGTTCGATTCCCCATTATTGGGCTTTCGAATGTGTGAAGCCCATTTCTTTTCAGTCCCCCGCCGTGATATTGCTGGAATATTGCTAAAAGCGGCGTAAAACTAAACTCAGTCAGTCAGTCAGTCAGTCGTTACTAGATGATTGTGCTGTTTTCCCAATTGCGCTTCCATGCCACGGCCAGGTACATCTTAGAGTGGCATGACAGTATCTGAGGTTAAAAAGACATGACTGGGACAGAAGTCTGTTCACAGGTGAGTCCTGGTTTCGTGCGGATGGTTCTACAGGTTTTGCACCCAGGACATGATGTTTTCGTTACGTTTAGGGATGGAAGTGTGACAGTATGGAGTGACATCACAACTCACGGGAGATGAGTCTACATTGTTGATGGCAAATATGAAAAGCTTTTGCTGACCAATATGACATCCTTCAAGATAATGTTCCAATATCATGTTGCAGCAAAATAATCCCTATCAACCCACATATTGTGTGTCATAAAAGACATAACATTGCTGTACTGCAATGGCCGGCTATCAGGCGCGTAGCAAGCCATTTTTTTTTCGTGTAAGCCCGATTGGTTGCAAAGCTTTAAATTTAGATAGTATTGAGGGCTTGCCTACCTTAATTTTTTATGAGACCTGAAGTGTTATTGTTTGATGTTAGATGATTTTAATAACTTCAAAATGTTGTTATCTTATCAATATTTTGAAATCATAAGGATAAGTTAGAGTAGTCTACCATTATATCAGACAGAAAAAGCATTTGATTGAAAAGTGACTTTCTCATGTGCAAATATGTTTTGACATTGTCCAAAGCAGGTTTAATGATACAATAACATGCATCGAGTATTTGTTTTTTTCTAAATGATTGTAAATACCTGCATTTCAGTTATGATTCACATATATGAGTGTAGCAAAACATTCACACACATGTCGATGGAAAAAAAAACATCACTGAAAGAATGACACCTTTCAAATCTATGATATGAAGAATAACATGTTTACTGTAAATGGTGACTCTATTTGTAAGGCTTTGTTATCAAAGAATATTGTAGTCAATATGATTCATAGAGGGATTACAATTTTCATATTGTTCTGGTAACGTGTTTATGGGTATTTTTTGTCATAATTAGACGTTTTTATAATGGTAGCTACGCCCCTGGCTATTTCACCAGACCTCTCCCCTACAGAACATGTCTAGGATGATAAGGAACGATGCCAATGACAGGACCTGAACCCGCTGACCATGCAGGGGAGATCTTCAATGAGCCACTGCTGCCTCACCTTTTTTAATGCTAATGATGGTCCCCTCCTACTGAATACTGACAACATGACTGACACGTGTTGCTCTCCCTCTGTTTCCAGGTATGGGTCTTGTCAACAAACTTCTTATGATAAAAGATTAATGAAAAAACATCATATTCTTTTCAATATACAATTTACACTACTTTATTTGAAGCAGAGTTATTTTTTCTATTGGTATACTAAGGCTAAAAGTTTCTGAAATGACTCCCAAATACAAGTTCAAAGTATTTAGCAGCACTGATAAAGCAGCATAAATTGCTGATTAGAGTGGTAGTCAGCTTGCAGATGCTTCTGATGTCCCTCGCCAGGTTTGCCTTGTGATCACTCATGGGTCAGCACAAATCACACATTCACTTTTTGCTCATCTCACATTCACAGTACACAGTACCTTGCCTGAATTTTTAAAAGTGGCATCAAAAATCTCACCATTCCCATTCACACACCAATGAATGCAAAACACAAGAACTAAATCCAATAATGCTTTTATTACCAAATTCAGCAAAAGACTCAATAAATTGGCACTTGATGATTTAAATTAGAGAATATATATCCCAGACTTCTTCATTTGTTCCGGATGCTCACAACAATTAAAATTAGAGGCTGAGGATGAGGTGTTGGGTAGGGGTGGGGATGGTAGAAGAGGATATTTTGTATGGAGACCAGATATATTTTCAGCTATATATGTAAAACCAGTCCCCTATCTAAAGCTAAGAGCCTATATATTTCTTTGGTAAAATCATCTTTCAAAAATTCTTTTTCAGCAGTCAGAAGCATTGGGTTTTTTCAAGCACCTATGAGACAAGTTATTTTTTAAGGTGTTCTGTTACCATTAAACAGATCTGTAAGTGTCTGAAACAAAGATAGATATACCAACAATATGAGATTAAGACCATTTCAAAATTGCCATTTCCACCATTAATACTGTTGAAGACATGTCAGTTACCCAACACATGAGTAGATTTAATGCTCAACTGACAAACATGTATCATACTTATCCATCCCAAATGAACCACACTGGAGACTAGTCACATGTTTGAAAACACATAGAAATAGACCATGAAAGAAATGTTGAAGGATCTAAACATAAAATGACCAGTCACATTGATGTTTTGAAGTAGTCTAAACCCAAAACAAGTGTATTTGTAACTTAGGTTCACCACAAAATGCAGACTTTATATAAGAAATACAGCTCTTACAGATTTCACATTGTCTACAAAAAGGTCAACAGCAGAAATGTGTTGATAATCCTGCAAGTTTTACAGGTGGACTGTCCATCTGGGCAATTCAGCACAATAGTAACTAAAACACAGGCACACTAGTACTCCCTTAGATAGTGAGTGACACTCCTTTTAATAGTATTCCAGTTATAACACCACATATTTGATGTGGGAAGTTGGAAATGAGGCAAGTGTTAGATGGTAAGTGAGTGAGTTAGGTTTTATGCCCCTTCAGCAATATTCCAGCACTGTCACCAGAAATGGGCATCATACATTGTACGCAAGTGGGGAATCGAACCTGGGTCTACCCCACCTCGTCATGGTCTGAGGTACAACAAATACATTAAGTTGTCTTCTTCTTTCTCTTCTCCCGTCTCTTCACCACCTGATTCAGCTGGCGGATCTGGTCATTGAACTCTTCCTCTACTTTCTCAGCCTCAGCTCGGATCTGAGCCAGCATGGTCTGCTTCCGATCTTTCAGGATTTGTTCACTTCTGGTCTGAAAGCCAGAAAGTAACACTTCTTATATCTGGGACCTATCCACAAAGCGTTCATAGCACTACGTCATTAGTAAACCAATGATACAGTTTACAGTTACAACATGTCGTAACATTACAAACGCTTTGTGGATCAGGCCCCAGGTCTCTTAGATTACCATTATTCAGGCATTTAAGCAAGGATAGCAATCCACTGGAAGTATTTTGATCAAATTTTGGTGTTTGTCTCTAAATTATATAGTTCCTAATGCAAAGGTATTATAATATTGCATTCCATGAAATGATGTAGAATTAAGCTTAAAGTTACTTTATTGCACCCTTTTATCAATGAACCACAAGCAGACGTTAATTAGAAAAAGCTATCATTACATTAATAATCAGAATTCATAATTCTGATTTTAAATTTTGAAATATTTACTGTACATGTATTTGCCTCTCAGAATGCCTAGATATATTCCACAGTCTGGCACCTAGATGACACTACTGTCAGAAGCTAATTACAAAATCCTGAGACCAGACTGTTCTCTTGTCTACTAACAGATGTGCTTATTCTGAAAATACTGCTGACTGTCCTGATGCACTTTACGAACGGTTTAGAATAACACAGAACAATTGGCTTGGTTCATGACTAGTGCCAAAAGACTCATATTGCAGACAGGTGGGATTGAAAATAGTTCATTTAAGTCAAGTAAATGGATAACTTTGTATCCTTTGCAAAGCTCACCAACAACTCTAGGGCGTCTTCATTTTCTTTAGCTCTTTCGACCCTTCTCTTCAAATTTTCTGATGCCTTAGCCTGAAGAAAAGAATTGATTTTGCTTGACTAGACTTGCGTCACATTCTTTATGCCTTTTATTGTTTGTAAATGAACAGCCAGTAAATGTCAAAAGCCAGCTTTAAAGGGAAATGTGACCCCAGACATGAAACAGTGTTGAATTACCATTTCTTCACTAACACTTCACAGGTCATCAGGATCAACCCAGTCCCTGCCCTCCCTCTTCTAACCCTGACTTTCAGTCACAACCTACCTCTTCCTGCTCCACCTCAGACAGACTGAAGAAATGGGGAAACCCACGTCTCCTTGCCACACTGTAGTACCCTCACACGCCCACCATCCTCTCCTTCTGGGGACACCCTCAAACATCCACCCACCCCTCCCATTCCCAGGATCTACCCACCTCTCTCCCGCATCAACCTCTCTCCGCTCCAACAGGAGACATCATCAAGCATCCACACACACCCTCAGGAGACCCTCCCGGGATCCATCCACCTTTCTCCGCTCCACCTCAGACAGACTGTAGTAACAGGGACACCCACCCCCTAGAGCCAGGCTCAACCCACGTCCTCCTTGCCACACTGTAGTAACAGGGGACACCCTCAAACATCCACCCATCCCCTCCCTCTGCTAGGATCCACCCACCTCTCCCTGCTCCACCCCAGACAGACTGAAGAAATGGGGACACCCACCCACCCCACTGCCAGGCTCAACCCACGTCTCCCTGCCACACTGAAGTAACTGGGGACACCCTCAAACATCCACCCACCCCCTCCCACTCCCAGGATCTACCCACCTCTCCCCGCTCAACTTCGTAACAGGAGACATCGTCAAGCATCCACCCACCCTCCCACTCCCAGGATCCACCCACCTCTCTCCTCGCTCCACCTCAGACAGACTGTAGTAACAGGGACACCCACCCCCTAGTGCCAGGCTCAACCCACGTCTCCCTTGCCACACTGTAGTAACAGGGGACACCCTCAAACATCCACCCACCCCTTCCCTCTGCTAGGATCCACACACCTCTCCCCGCTCCACTAAGACAGACTGTAACAGGACACATAGTCAAGCATCCACCCACCCCCTCCCACTCCCAGGATCCACCCACTTTTCTCTCTTCCCACCTCAGACAGACTGTAGTAACAGGGATACCCACCCCCTACTGCCAGGCTCAACCCACCTCTCCCTGACTGACTATAGAAACAGGGGACACACACCCCCTCCCACTCCAAGGATCCACCCACCTCTCTCCGCTCCACCTCAGACAGACTGTAGAAACAGGGACACCCACCCTCTACTGCCAGGCTCAACCCACCTCTCCGTGTCTGACTATAGTAACAGGGGACACCCTCACACATCCACCCACCCCCTCACTCTGCCAGGATCCACCCACCTCTCTCCGCTCCACTTCAGACAGACTGTAGTAACAGGGACACCCACCCCCTACTGCCAGGCTCATCCCACCTCTCCTCGCCCCACTGTAGTAACAGGGGATCACCCTCAAACATCCACCCACTCACCTCCCTACTGCCAAGCTCAACCCACCTCTCCTGCCCCACTGTAGTAATGGGGTCACCCTCAAACATCCACCCACCCCATTCCTCTGCCAGGATCCACCCACCTGTCTCCGCTCCACCTCAGACTGTCTGTAGTAATAGGGACAGCCACTGTGGGTCCTCGGATGTCCAAGCTCCTTACAGTTTCCACATCGGACACTTTTCACTACCGGTGACACAGACGACTTATCCATCGTCTTCTTCTCCTCATCAGCAGACCCCTGTAACTAGGGACAGCCACACAATCCAGGCTGTTTCCACATCGGACACTTTTTAAGTGTATGTGTCTTCTTTTTTTCAGGTGTTTTGTATTTTTTGTTTTGATTTTTCAGTTGTTTTTGGTTTTGTTTTTTTGGTTTTGTTTTGTTATGTGTTTTTTTGGGGGGTTGGTGTTTTGATGGTTTTTTGTTTGTTATTTTTGTTTTTGACGGGTATAAGTTAAACCACACAAAATGAAGGTATATAAATGAAGGAAATGTTGTCATCTAATTGGTTCATGAATCCAGGCATCCTTCGTTTAGACTGAGCATGCAAAGCAAAGTTCAACTGACACTATCGTTAGAACAAAGAGGTATCATAACTGCTATAATGTCTGATTTTAATGTTTTTGATGATAAACAGTAGTATTCAAGAAATAATAAGGCAATGAGGCATCTGAGTTCAAAATCAAAGCAATTCAAGAGTGAGAGAGTCCTGACATAACCAATAGGACCAGTCCATCCAGTTAATAAAAGCTTGGGTAATCTTCATTTGGCTGTTACAACAAGCAATGCATGGCGTACTTGGAACTTATTCCTCCACTGAATCCCCATGGGGCCAAACAACCAAGAGCATGGAACAACAAAACTTCCAATGCCTTTTGAACATATATATCCCTCATGCTTGGGTGTTCAGATGCTTTAGAAGATTCATTGATTTCTCAAATATTGCATGACCAATTGTAAAACATGTCACAAACTTATTAAAAGCATCTTTATTTTAAACACAAGCCATCATCCAAGTATTTACAATGTCTGTGTGACACATCCTGCAACCTTACAGCAAATACTGTAAACACTGCCGACAGAAGATGTATGATGTCTGAAAACATAACCAACAATATTTCTGAATAACTAAATACTTTTTTAGCCGCATCAGCAATTTTGCAGCAGTTCATGACGATTTGAAACATAAATAACCAGATTTGTGTTTGAAGTTAAGGGGCTCCTATATGTTCACTGCTGTAGGTTATCATCCCGCCGAAGACCCAGGTTCGATTCCCCACATGGATTTTACATGACGCGGGATTCCTGCGTATTTGACGCAACAATTTTATTAAAGACTCTCAAAATATATCGTACGAGTCAAGCTTGACGCAAGTATTATGAGTGACCCTCAGAATTCAGTTCAGAGTCAATAAAATCGATTTGATAGAAACAATGATAGTTTTTGTGAGGTTTTCATTAATTTAGATATTTCTTTCAATTCATGTTAATAACTGTATGTTACAGTGAATAAATCACAAGCCTGATTATGTGTTCAGTATACTGGAATTTGTTATGAATGAACTGAACAGTGAAAAATATACTATTTATTAACTAACACAACACAATAAAATCATTGCAAAACTCTGCTTTTTGATATACACACATAAGTATTATGCTAAAATTCACGACTCCCAAATATTGAAAATGACTCCCCAAAATAGATACTGTGGGTCACCATGACTCTCTTTTTTCAAAGCCTGTGTAAAACCCTGCATGGATTCAATGTGTGAAGCCCATTTCTGGTGTCCCCCGCCATGATACTGCTGGAATATTGCTGAAAGTGGCGTACAACCCAACTCACTCACTCAATTATTATAATACACAAATTTTGTACTTTTAACAAAATGCCTTACTGTCAATGACATCATCATCTTCTTTGGTCTTCAGTTCATGAAGAATGCCTGATGCTGTTTTTCTGTCAGTTGCCTTGTCATCAAGACTCTTGAACGTTGATGAGGCTACAAATTGAAGAAAAGACTGAATATTATTCAAGATGTATTTTAGTGTGTATCAGGAGTATTAACATATTTCCTGAGACACATATTCTCAATTGAAGCAATGCATTAATGTGGTAGCCTGAGTGGAAATTAGTGAGGTTCTTTCAACTTTTAGGAGAGTCAGAAACCTGTGATCATTGATTCTAATTAAAAGCCCTGTTTAAAAGTCCAATGTATGTCAGCATCACATCCATGCTCAGCAGTTGATTTCAACCAGTTTACAGATGACTGTGTAATGATGAAAGTTTAACTTTGATTCAGTAACTGATTTACATCAATGAAGGTCATAATAACTATAGTTATTAGGTGATTAGGTGTTTTCCCAAACTGTTTCCTGGGGATTTGGGAAATGACACCAAACAGCAACTTTCACCAACCACAGTGATTTTGCTTGTGGCAGATCACATGTTCATGATGCATTAACTTTTGGATGACAGCTTAGGATGTTTTGGATGACACCCTTCAACCCTGGAAACAAATTTCATGTGAATATCATGTGCTAAGACATAATTACATTGATTTGTGACTGAAACTCTTTGCACTGGAGTTACACAAGCTTTGGGTGGTGTTCTGGCAGTAGCTGATGTTCCTGTAGGCTGTTGCCATGGTGATGTGGCAGATGGCTGTTGCCATGGTGATGTCACCGTGGCAGACGGCACCCTTCTAGTTTCCTTGTGTGGATGACGTACAACTGCTGCTGTGGGTGATCTGCTGTAGATGTATGGTGTCACTTCAGGGGATGATCTGGACGACTTGTTTGAGCCTGTTTCTTCACCACCACAGTACTTGTGACTCTGAATCTTTCTGTACAACGCCAACTGAAAGATTGAACACATTCATTAGCATGCAGTAGATTTTATTTCGGATGGAGTGCCAATACTTATTACTCTACTACTTGTGTCCGTGGCACATGATGCAGGAATTCTGTATAGTAGGAAGGTTTTTTTACCCAAAATACCCCCTCACATATAGCTGGCAGTACCAGTATATGTTTTCCAAAATATGTCTCAGGGGGTTTCAACAGAATTGTATTGTTTTCATCCCAACATGTCAAAAACATTTTCATGATATTAATCATGACCTGCATTTCTGAACTAATGTATGACGAGGTAGAATAACAACCTATTTGTTTTACACTTTATTTTATCAACATCTTGTAACAGCTTAAGTTTAAATTATGCATGACTTCAAATTGTCCTTATAACCAAAAAGCATACCATAAGTCCTGACAACTCGTATTTTCGTTTGTGAGATGATACCTAACCAATCAGAACCATATAATCATTATATTTATAGACACGGAAAGAATCATGGACCAGAAGGAATTAGAAGAAAGTTTGTTAGACATTGGTAAGTTCAGAATTTTCAGAACCCAAACTATGAGCAATGCTGGTCACTTATTTGCAATCATTCATGAAGGAAATGAGCTGTATCATGCTATAGAAAAGCATACATTTCCTACAGCAGTATACAGTAATATCTATCACTGTTAATTTAGAATGTGTTAAATATCATTTGAAATTATTTAGAAAAACTACCAGGGAGACCTAAGTAGTACCGGAAAGCTGCTAAGCTATGCCCCTGCCTCGCCACGGACCAGTGCAGCCAATATGGCGGCAGCGAAGTTTTAAGATTGAGCCCGGTTTATTTTCAACAGCTGATTACATAATGCTGAGTGTTGTGGACAACTGAAAACCTACATGTAGAAGATAAGTTACCTATTCTGTCACTTCATTTTAAGTCAAATACTTGTTATTAGTGTCAGTATAAGTACAGTAGCTTTGTAGTAAAGTTTCAAGTGGGCATGTTGTAGCTCACTGGCTTCAATTCTCAGTACACAGTTTAAGAAAGACTAACTTATATCGCTAAAAACTTCTTTCACATATTCGCTTAATTTTTAGAAGGGAAATATACCTTTCGTTAAATGACATATCACGATCTGCCATTGAAATACTACAGAGTTGTTTGAGTGTTTCTAGTTAGTGTTCAAAAAACATCTTCACATACACCTTCAATTTTTATGAGGGGAATATACCATCAGGTGAAAGGTGTTTGCAAGTAATAGTGATAGTTTTATAATTTAAAAAATTGTTAGTGTGTATTTGAGGGTGTGTAAAAATATGACATATCACTGATCTGCCATTGAAAATACTACAGCGTTGTTTGAGTGTTTCTAGTTAGTGTTCAAAACATCTTCACATACACCTTCAATTTTTATGAGGGGAATATACCATCAGGTGAAAGGTGTTTGCAAGTAATAGTAATAGTTTTATAATTTTAAAAAAAATGTTAGTGTGTATTTGAGGTGTGTGAAAAATATGACATATCACGATCTGCCATTGAAATACTACAGGGTTGTTTGAGTGTTTCTAGTTAGTGTTCAAAAACATCTTCACATACACCTTTAATTTTTATGAGGGGAATATACCATCAAGTGAAAGGTGTTTTGCAAGTAATAGTAATAGTTTTATAATTTAAAAAAAAATGTTAGTGTGTATTTGAGGTGTGTGAAAAATATGACATATCACTAATCTGCCATTGAAATACTACAGGGCGTTGTTTGAGTGTTTCTAGTTATTGTTCTAAAACATCTTCACATACACCTTTAATTTTTATGAGGGGAATATACCATCAGGTGAAAGTTTTTGCAAGTAATAGTGATAGTTTTATTCATTTTTTGTTAGTGTGTATTTGAGGTGTGTGAAAAATATGACATATCGCCCGATCTGTTCTGATCGCCATTGGTGCTTGTGATGCTTGAGTGTTATAGTTCTAAAACTTCTTTCTTTCTTGTTGATCTTAGTATATGACAAAACTGGAAAGGTGTTTGCAAGGCTTTGTGATAGTTCTAAACTTTCTGTTCTTGAGGGGTCTGTGACAGTGTCAGTTAACATTCTGTCAATGCCCATGTCATTCCACACATGCTACTAACCATTTTGAAATGGATCAGTGCAATATTAGAAAGAATTTTGTCATAATCGCACATCTTTGCATCCTATGAAAATTTATGTTCACTTCAATCTATAAATAGCTTAGTTTGGTTTCAAGTCACTTACCTGATTAGCAATAGACTTTTCAGTCGTATTTCTTCCAATAGGTTTCCTTGGCAGACAGTCAAACTTCTCATCTGTCTCACTTCTCCTAGAACTGGATCCAGCACCAAACACAGACCTACACATGTGTTCAGGGACTGGATTTAATGAATTCACATTTGTCTGCTTCGTCTGAAATGGATCCTGTACACCAGACTGTGACACAGCCTTCTGCTCTTCAAGCTGGAGAGTCCTGGCATATTCTGCGTCTGCAATCAAACTAGCTGATCCTCCTCCACCATCAGCCATGTTTCTCTGAAGCTCCTCCTCCTGGAGGATCCTGGCCAGCTCAGCATCATAGTCAAAAGTGTTGGAGTCATGTCCTTCTGTAGCTCCATCTGAAGGTTGATAATGCTCAAACAGGGCTTTTCTTGAAGTTTTTACTTTAATGACATTGCTTTGTGATGCACAAACATCACGAGAATAAAGATTTGACATACGAGTACTGGGATCAGACATGGAATTTGAACTCTCAGCACTAGTATTTAATCTGTGGGTATCACATTTTGAAGCACTAAAATTTGAGCTGGATTGTCCAATGTAAGCACTTGATGTTTGGCTGCACTCTACTTGCTCTCTGTCTGCCAATGCCTCTTTAACCCAACTTGAGCAACTGCTAGAAGCAGTTTTAGGTATCTTGCAATCTAAAGGCGAACTAAAATCCTTTGTGTCACATATTCTTTTGTGTCTCAGTGACATTGCCTCCACGACTGGGACACATTTTCTCCCACTTTCCTTGTCAAACTGTTCCTGAAGCTGCCTGGCGAATTCCTCATCTGTCATTGCTTCAGTCTTAACCCATCTGATGCTGTTTCCACTAGAATTATTTCAGTCTTGATCTCATCATCCGGTAATTTGATAGCACCATGTACTTGGTCCCTAATAGCCCTGTGTGATATTCCCACACTGTGGGCAACAGACACAGACTTGTGAGTATCAGTGTGGTCCTTGGTGAGCTCTGACATTACTGATTGAGAAATCTGATTAGATGCACATTCACCACTGTCTGGTAATTTGATAGCACCATGAACTTGGTCCCTAATAGCCCCGTGTGATGTCCCCACACTGTGGGGAACACACACAGACTTGTGAGTATCAGTGTGGTCCTTGGTGAGCTCTGACAATACTGATTGAGAAATCTGATTAGAAGCACATTCACCACTGTCTGGTAATTTGTTAGCACCATGAACTTGGCCCTCAATTTCCCCATGTGACCTCATCACACTGTGGGCAACAGACACAGACTTGTGAGTTTTAGTTTGGTCCTTGGGGAGCTCTGACATTACTGATTCAGAAATCTGACTAGATGCACATTCACCAATATCCTCAAGTAACTGACCTTCATATGTATCTCTCAAACCTTCATTATCAGGTACCACACATTTACCAGTGTAGTCACATGCACTCTTTTCTTCATGACATGGATCAGAAGTCTCCATGATCTCACAGTTCTCCGTGTGCCCCATGTCTTTAATACTTGGCTCAGAAATATCCTGACTGACACTCTCAGTACAGTCCTGTGCTACAATCCCACCAGAAAAAGCATCTTGATCTGTAGAAATACCTTTTCTCAGAGAACACACTATGGCCTATGGGACTAGTTATCTCAGAATCAACATGGCTTTCAACAGTCCTGCTTTCAACAAAACTATCAGACTCTGTTAACTTTATTGAAGAATGTCCATCAAGATCACTGCCAACTGAAACACCTGGTTCTGACAAAATGTCTTCTCCAAAACTGTCAGATCTTGTATTGTCTTCACCAGTGATATGACTAGATTCTATGTTTTCTGACACCTTGTCTTTTGAATCATTGCACACATCAGTACCATATGTTCCACAAGTGTTCTCACTGGTCAGTGAGACTGAAGTTGGACAACCCACCACGCTTTCTGAAGCATCAGAAATAGCATCTCCTGAAGGACCTAAACAAGACAACGTTGATGACTCCTCAACTTCCTGTTTTCCTAAAAGGGAAGATAAGGCCATATCCCTTCCTTCATTCCTTCCATTAAGCACAAGCTGTTCCCCTGAAATGGGGACACGTTTTGTGGCACTCATCTCACTCTCAGTTGACTCTTTCATGTGTTGAACACTTTGATGAGCAACAGGTGACATATGCTTGTTTTGGTGCGTTTCAGATCCCAACTTGCTCCTGAGAAGTCTCGATGGTCCATCACTACCAAATTTTGACTTCCTATATTCATCATCAAATTCCTGCTGAAGACGTCTTGCCAGTTCCTCATCTTTCAAAGTCTCTGTACCAGCTTCAGTACCAAGGATATCAGGAGCATGGCTGATGTTGGCTGTTCTGTCAGATTTATCTGAAGCTTGAGCTTGGACAGAAGCTGTACCACTGTTGACAGATATGCACGATACGGTGTCTGACAATGGTTTGCACAGAGAATTGGTTACACTCTGAACATGACCACCAACATTACCACATCTCTCACCCAGGTCCAATCGTGGAATCTTTGATTCTGGTGATCCATGACCTGAAGCATACCGTCTCTTTGTTGGAGTCTTGAGAGGTGAGAATCCCTTGTCAGTGGTACAGCTGGATTGTCTTGATAACACTTTGTTGTCATTCATATCCATCTGCTGTCTCACGCAGGTAATGCCAACATCTTGAGAATCCATATCTTGTTCTAGAAGACTCAAGTTCAAAGCAAGTTTTACTTGTTCTTCTTCACTCAAGATGTCAACAGAACTGCAATGTTTTCTTGATACAGTAGGCAGACTTAACACAGAACCTGGTTGATCTACCAGTACTTTGTTCAGTTCAGAAGAATTACCAGTCACAGACTTCACTTGTTCTTTATTGTTTTCTGAGCTTGGAAATGTTTTCCAGATGCCAGCTGAATCCAGTTCAGGCTCTGAAACTGAAGATTGGTCTGTTTTGTTTGGGGAACAAAAAGGTTTTGATGCTTTTGGCTGATTGATAACTGAATCCACTTCATTCCTGTCATGACAGCAATGTTTCTGTAACAATGGCGATGGATTGGTTTGGTTTTTGGAATTATCAGATAGAGATTCTGATCCTTGACTTTGAATACAATTTTCCTGTAATACTGAGGATGGATCAGTGAAGGTTTTGGAACAAGGACATTTTATTCCTTCTGGCAGCAAGGTAATAGAATCAGGTCTGTTGCTGCAATTTTTCTTTAATACTAGAGATGGGTCAGTGTTGTTCTGGAGCTCTTTGTCATCACACACTGGAATCTGGCTCTCCTCTTGAGAATCAAGAAGAATAACACAAGAATTCTGATATCCCTCATTGGCACATGGAATCTGGTCATCCTCTTGGGAGTCGTCCAATATAACCAAGTCGCAGACTGACCCTCCGCAAACAGGCAGAGACCCAGTCCTGGTTCTTGGCACATCAACATCTTCATCTTGAGAGTCAACAAGTTCAATGACTTCTGGAGAGGTTTGAGCAGAAGTAGTGAATTTCCCACTTGATAGACTTTCAACACTTTTTGTCAAAGTGGTCTGTATTTGTTGATCTGTTTCTTGTGAATCAACCACAGTTATTGGCTTGATTGTGGCTGTAAGCTTCATTTTTTGTTCATTACTGAAAGAGGAATCGAATGAGATAGTCAGAAAGTATATGTGGTGATGTTTTCTGCTGCTCAGCAGTAGTACAGCTAATTCATAAAAATAATCATGTTTTGGCCAGAAACCAGTGACCTTAAGCATGATAAAACTACTGAGGCACATTGGCACACAAACAGCAAAGTCTGACATCTTTATCTATATCAGTGAACTCATTCAGCAAACACTGGTTTCAAGAGACAGCATGGCAATGTGTTAAGAAAAGTGAGTGAGTGTGTGAGTAAGTGAGTATGGATTTACACCGCTTTTACTAATATTCCAGCAATATCACAGCGGGGTACACCTGAAATAGGTTCAACACATTGTACCCATGTTAAGAAAAGAGGACAATGGTGTTATTACATGTAAAATAACTAAAATGTCTTTTCTCTCATATATTTCTCAGGACCCATATAAGATATGTAAAAATTAAATCAAAGTTATATATTGTAATAATGCAAATTTATTGGCCAACAGGCTCAAACTGAATAACCTGTCTAAATATAACATAACAAAATGTAAAATATCACCTAAAATGGGGGATACTGGGAAATATTAATTAAAAGGGATCTGCTGGTGCTAGTGAAGTTACCTTTTGTGTTGGTGACCATGTTTGTTGGTAACGATTTCTTTCATACTTTCTTCTATGGCCTAAGAAGAAAATATCCATCAACAGATTACAATGAGATGCATTGGCCACTGACATCTTGGATATATAAACAATAAAAATATATACAAATAAACATGTTCAAATAATTTCGTAAACTCTGACTTGCACTGGCAATCTGATTATATCTCATTTATTCCACTTATTGTAATAACAACTTCATCTGAACTGAAAGAACAGCATCTCCTTTCTGAAACATTTTCCAAAAAAAAGGTCAGTGAATATTATGTGTTTAACAAAAACAAAATCTACTAATAGGCACATTTACTGCAGTAATAAATTGGAAATTTTAACTATAAATTGTATATTTATATACTTATCCTATCTCACGACTTGCACCTCTCTCTCTTCATTCGACCATGAGTGGAAACGAATAAAAACTTTGCTCCAGGCCTACCTTGTCCCTGTCCCCGTGCTGTGCATGCCTTCCTGTCTCAGTCATGCTCACTAGTCCGTGACAGCACGAGGCATGTGCAGTCCTCACCCACATGATCACCTCACATATTCATTCTCGATCTTGGAGCCATAAAGGGACAAAAGCGGAACGGTGGTAATCTAGGTAGTGGATAGGTAGGGTTAGACTTTATCGCGTGAGATAGGATAAGTATATAAATATACAATTTATAGTTAAAATTTCCAAATTTTTAAACTTATCCTGTCTCACGACTTGCACTTATCCCACGGTAGGAAGGTGGGTCATAGATTACCCGAAGTTCAAGCGATAACAGCTAAGCGTTATGCCAAAACAACCTTAGGAAGCAACTACAAGGCAGGCCAATAACTACCAAAGTTACTACGTGTGATGGTTAGTTCGAACCCATTGACTTACTAAGCACAATTGCTCCCAGGGACCGGGATTCCTGAGCAATGTGGTGTTCAGTCACTACCTTCACAAAGTGAAAGGCGCAGCTTAGCGAGTGTAATCAGTCGCATCGCCACGATTTCCAAGGTACCTCCGTAATAAAAGTCTAACGACTAGTATCGGGCCAGCCCCTGCTTCGAAGCAACCCCCACAGACACCGTCCCGAGGAGGGTGAAAGGGTAATTGAATCGTAAAAACTCACAATTTTAGCGTTCAGTACCACAACATCATCTTATGACTTCCACTACTTACCACAGTAAGATCACATAGATGTGTATAGGTACTTAGGAGCATGAACGCTATGAAGTGTAACACTTCCGGGAAGGACTCACTTCACTGACTTAATTACTCCGTGGAGCAGAGGACAGTAAGTGAGGTGGCGACTCTCCAGAGTCTCAAAACAAAAAAAATCCCGGAAGAAAACAAAGACGCAAATCAGAAATAAGTTTCAGATTTATTCAGATTGTACACAAGCAGAAACGATCGCGACTTGGGATCAACTGCACAAATGGGATCCATATAGCATCGTAGCATAAGGAAGTTCATTATCTGCGATGTTGAGCCGCTGACAACTGCTGAGCAAGGATGAGTGGGTCAAACTGATGAAGGCCTTGAATATCCGTCACCGACACATCTCTGAGGTAATGAGACGAAAATACAGTGTCAGAACGCCAAAAACAACCCTCCGTTATAGCAGTTAACGAGCAGTTACTATGCAACGCCATAGTAGAAGCCAATGCCCTGGTTTCATGAGGGTTTGATGCCGTAGGTGGTGGCAAACCGGCAAAAGTGTAGGCTCGTAGTATTGTAGTTCGTAGCCAATATGAGAGTGTTGTGCGAGAGACTTCCACCTTGGAAGCAGTAGACAAGGGTATAAACAGTCTCTTACGCAAGCGGCGGCATGCTTGCGATGCTTTAAGGAAAATGCGAAGTGCTCTAACTGGACAGAGAGACAGATCCTCGACATCTTCTGGACCCAATATAGTAGACAAAGGCGGGATTGTAAAAAAACGATCAGGTTGACCCGGCAACTGTTTTTTTGCGACAAAATCCGAGCGCAATCCCAAAAATACCTTGCCATGTCTACCCTGTTCAAAACGGACACGGTTGACATCTAGAGCATGAAGTTCTGATACTCGTGCCGCCGTGGCCAAGGCAATCAGAAAAAAGGTCTTGAACGAAACCTGTTCAAAATCCTTATCCTGTAAGGGTTCATAATGCTCGGACACTAAGTGGCGAAGGACCACGGATAAGTCGACGGGCGACTGGAACGAGACAGAGCGTCGGCAATCATGTTCTTTGTTCCAGGGATGTGCCTTGCTCTTGCTACAATGTTGAGAGAATCTATCAGAAGATAAAATCGAAATGTCCAC